AGGGCTTCTATTGTATATTGTGAGTTGCTTTTATTTTGCTGCTTTCAAAATTCATTGTCTTTGATTTTTGACATTTGATTATAATATGTCTTGGTGTGGATTTCTTTAGGTTCATCTTATTTAGAATCCTTCAAGCTTCCTGGATCTGGTTGCCCATTTTCCTCACTAGATTTGGGAGTTTTCAGCCATTATTTCTTTCTATTAGCTTTCTAGTTCTTTCTCTTTTTCTTCTCTGGAAACCCCATCATGCATATATTAACCCACTTGTTGGTGTCCCACAGTTCTCTTAATCTTTCATCACTTCTTTCTATTCTTTTCTCTTTTTGCTCCTTTGCCTGAATAATTTTTAAAGGTCTGAGTTTGCCTCTCTTTGTGGAAATTTTCACTTTATTCTCATCACTTCATTGTTCTCATCACTTCAATGAGCATCTTTATGACAGTTATTTTGAAATGTCTGTTAGGAAAATTGTACCTCTGCTTCACTCAGGTCAATTTCTGAAGATTTATCTTCTTCCTTTATTTTGAACGTATTTCCCCATTTCTTCATTTTCCTTTACTCTGTGTTGCCATCTGCACATTGGACAAAACAGTCACCTTTCTCAATTTTCATGGACTGGGCTTTTGTAAGAGAAACCCTCATCAGTAGACCTGATCAGGGATTCTGGAGGCCCCTTAAACCTTCATGCTAGTCCAACCTTGTTTTCTGTTCTTAGGGGCCCCAAGTGTCTAGAGCACACTAGGTCCCATTGGTGTTCCAAGATGAGTGAAACTTATCTTGGAAGGAAGCCAGCTCCTTGGGCAGTCACCAGAGAATTTGGATCATTAGATGTCTTGTCCAAATCTTTCACTCCCCAGAGATAAGTTGGGATCTGGATTTTGTTTTGTTTTGTGGGGCTTTTTTTTTCTTCTCCTTTCTCTTGCTTTTTTTTTCTCTGTGCTGCACCAGGGAGAGGGGCTATGGTGACTAATCTGCTACATCAAACCACTGTGTTTTTTCTCACTGGCCCCCAGGTGACTAGAGTATGCTAGGTTCCATTAGTGCTCCAATACAGACAAGACCGAAAAAGCCAGTCCTTTGGGCAGTCCCTAGAAAAGTTGGGGCATTGGACACTTAGTGCAACTCTTCCTCCCCTGGGAGAAGCTGGGAGTTAGGGTTATTGTCTGATTTCTCTGTGCTGAGCCAAGAGCAGAAGCTGTGATGAGTGCCCGTATGCTAGTTCAAATCTCCTCTTTGTTCTTTGTAGCACACAGGAGACTAATACATGTTGGATCTCAGCTCTTCTAACTCAGGTGAGATAGAAGCCAGTTTTTCAGACAGCACCTGGAAAAATTGGAGTGTTATATGTGTGGTCCAATTTTTTCCCTCCTTGGGGAGAAACCAAAAGTTGAGAGTTCTCTCCTGATCATATAGCATGGTTCTGGGAACGGGTATTATGTCAAAGAAATGGTTCTGCTTTTCCTACTGGTTTCAATGTAACTGGGGTTATACTTGCGTGTTAAGCAGGAGCCTGTCAAGTAGTCTCTGGGTTTCTCACAAAGGAAATTGATTTATGTGTGGCTATTGAATGATAGTGTCTGCTGTGGGAAGAGTCGTCTAAGATTTCCTATTCTGTTATCTTGCTAACATCACTCCTCTTTGCTCTCTTTTGACCCTTCTTCTTTATGTGCCAAGGGCTTGAATGCATACTTGCAACTCTGGGAAGAATGAAGCCCCTGCAGAGCTTATTCCTCCTTTTTTGTTTCTTTTGTTTTTTTTTTTGTTTGTTTGTTTTTTTTTTGAGTGCTAGAAATGATACAGGCCAACATTATGGCTAATCTTTCTAAGAGGTTATTCTACTAAATTACATATAAAATGAAAGTACCTATTTTCAGCGTGTGAATCTGTGAATACTAGTGAACAGTTTGCTATCTTTTCCATTTGTACAAATACCTTAATACTATTTCATTATGCCAATCCTATAAGAATTTCACAAGGACTACATTGTTGTGGTTTTTTTTGAGTCGGAGTCTCACTCTTTTTTTTTTTTTTTGAGATGGAGTCTCGCTCTGTCGCCCAGGCTGGAGTGCAGTGGGGCAATCTCAGCTTACTGTAACCTCTGCTTCTCGGGTTCAAGCAATTCTCTTGCTTCAGCTTCCCACGTATCTGGGATTGCAGGCGTGCACCACTGAACTGGGCTAGTTTTTATATTTTTATTAGAGCCAGGGTTTCACCATGTTGGCCAGGCTGGTCTTGAACTCCTGACCTCAGGTGATCTGTCTGCCTCAGCCTCCCAAAATCCTGGGATTACAGACATGAGCACCACGCCCGGCCTACCTTGCATTCTTTGGTTGCTATACCTACTCACCCATTTAGACCTTTGCTACTTCTCATAGTTTCTAGTTACTATAAACCTAGTTGCATAGGCTTATCTCATTTATATTTTCAGATATTTTGTTTAGTACTTTCTTTTTTTTAATTGTTTTTTTAGAAGTAAAATACATATGTAAACATTTTAAGGCAATATTCGAGAGTATAAGTAAAAATAAATGAACAAAACCTTTTTCCTGGTCTTCCTGCTTTTCCTTTGCAAAAGCAACCGCTCACTGGTTTACTGCGTGTCTTTCCAGAAGTGGTCTGTTCGAGCATAACTTAAATGATTCATATTTGGAAGAAACCATGGTAGAAGACATACAGTAGCTGTGGTTCAAGGGCAGGTGATACAAAACGGTAGCTTGAGTCTATAGAGAGTCAGCAGATGTGTCTTATTTATGACATCATATAACTAGGGTGGTGCCATGCTTTCACAATACCGGTAGCTTAGTTTACATTTTATTTTATCCTCTAGCTTTAACCATTTAAGAATTTGAGTTTGCCACCCACGTTTGAAGGATATTGAAACAGAAACTGACTTTATGTATCTGTTCATTGTATGAATTTTTTCCCACTTAAATTATTTTAATTGTGTAAGTGGACTAGATCGCATTTTATTTTCTTGTTATATGACTTCTCAACAATATTAAATGTCTTTCCCTAATTGAGATCAAGATTTACTTATTGGTGATATTGATTAAATAAGAAAAATAAAGGTTATTTTAATCTTATGTTTCATAAATTAAGTCCTGGAGCAGTTCTCAAACTTAAATACATTAGGATGCTGGGGTGCTTGTTAAAAATGTAAATTTTTGGCCAGGCACAGGGGCTGATGCCTATAATCCCAGCACTTTGGGAGGGTGAGGCAGGTGGATCACCTGAGGCCAGGAGATTGAGACCAGCCTGGCCAACATAACAAAACTCCATCTCTACCAAATAATACAAAAATTACCTGGGCATGGTGGTGGGCACCTGCAGTCCCAGCTACTTGGGAGGCTGAGGCAGGAGTTGAACCCAGGAGGCAGAAGTTGCAATGAGCCGAGATCGTGCCACTGCACTCTAGCCTGGGTGACAGAGAGAGACTCCATCTCAAAAAAGAAAGAAAGAAGAAAAAAAAGTAGATTTTTTTTTATCTCCCTTTCCTTCATCTCCTACCTTCCAATACCCATCAGAGAATCCTGTATAGTGGACTTGATATGGGGCCCTAGAAGATTCTGAAGGAGGAAATTCCTGAATGAGAGGCTGGGAAGGAGACCAACCCCATGCCTATTTGAGAACACACTCATTGTGTTCAGCAGCAAAGCTCGTGACTTTTTGGACGACAAGCAATTTCATGTTTTGTTTCGACTTAAAGAGAATCTATAATGGTGAAGCTTTATTTTAGAAGCAGAGGCAACACAATTTTGCTGTGGAAAATTTCTTGTACTTCACTGGTGCAGAGGAAATAGCAATGTGCCCCAGTGGTTCTGACCTCTTTAAACAGGGTTATTGCACAGATTGAAAACAACAGAATAATGAAGCTAAATTACTGTCATACTTTGTGAAACACAGATCACAGGAAACTTCCCTGGTCTAATGGAAACTGTACTAAAAGTAAGAAGCAGTAAAGTTAGCTTAATTTGTAAACAGTACTACATGACATAGGCTTATGCAGTTATACAAGTGAAATCCTTTTTCATTTGTCTAGGTAGTAGTGTTGACTTTTGTTATATTAGATACTTTACATGTAAGAACTATCAGCTGGATGCCAACGCTATATAAAGCAAACAAACTGGCAGTGTATAATATAGAGTACATTTAGCTCAGGGGTCCACAAGCTGTGGCCCATAGGCCAAATCTGGTTCACTCTGCTCGTTTGTGTATGGCCTGCCATATATACTGAGAGTTGTTTTACTTATTTTAAAAATTATTTATTCATTTGAAACAGGGTTTCACTCTGTCACCCAGGCTGAAGTGCAGTGGTGCGATAACAGCTCACTGCAGACTCCATCTCCTGGGCTCAAACAATCCTCCCACCTCAGCCTCCTGAGTAGCTAGGACTAAACAGGCGCATGCCACCATACCCAGCTAATTTTTAATTTTTTATGCAGAAATGGGGTTTCACTGTGTTGCTCAGGTTGGCCTCAAACTCTTGAGCTCAAGTGATCTGCCCAAAGTGCTGGGATTACAGGTGTGAGCCACTGGGCCTAGTCTGTTCTACATTTTTAAATGGTTGGAAGAAAGTAAAAATATTTTGTGACATGTAAAAATTTCCTGAAATTCAAATTTCAATGTCCATAAAGAAAGTTTTATTGGAACATGGCCATGTTCATTTGTTTATTTATTGTCTACGGATGCTTTGGGGCCTCAATGCCAGAGTGGAGAGGTGTTGCAACAAAGATCATATGGCCTTGCAAAGCCTAACATGTGTATCACTGGCTCTTCCAGAAAAAAATATATACACCTTGATTTAGCTCACTCCTCTCCTAAAAGACTGACATTCCCTGGAATGGAGGAAGCTTAGAGACCAGAATTTCAACCTCTTTCCATCTTCAATCAACTTTTTAGCTTTTTTTCTATTTTTCTGGGAGACTTTCATGTTCAGATTTTTAGTTATCCAAAAAACTGAAGAAGAAACAACTTCCTAATTTCTCACCATATTCTGTTGCAGAAACATGTGGAATTCATTCAAAATACATGAGAGCTATGTATCCTACCAAAACCTTCCCAAATCATTACACCATTGTCACGGTGAGTGCTTGACCCCATGGTAAGACAGGCCAAAGACCAGAACTGACCACATAAGACAGACATGTTTGGGCAGGAACTGGCCGAGTTCTGAGACTTACCTTTTTCGAGCACATGTGGGAATAGTTCATGGCTGAATTCAGGCTGGAAGGAATGGCTCAATATGAGGTCAATCCAGGGCTGTGAGGCATGAACTATGAATAAGTGTCCAGCATTAGGTTAATTCACCTGTGCTGAGCCCAAAACAGACCCTTTGATGTGAGAAATACCATTTTCCTCTGGTCTTTCGATTGCCCTTTGTTTATCTGAAGGTCTGCTGGGAACAGTAGGCTATATATAGGGCCAACTACTTTGATGTGGGAAATTTTGTTCTTTCCTAGTCTTTTCATTACAATTAACTTGATAGAACTTCTTTTTCATGAAGGAATTCACACTGTCTACATCTCTTTAGATAAAGCAATAAAAGCAAGTGAATTATCCTCAGTGTATAAAAAGATGTAGGTAGAATGATTAAAATGAACTCAAAATTATATTATTTAAGACAGGTGGATTTAGAACACATTTAAGGCATCCGCTGCCTCAAAGGATATTTGTGTCTTTGTTACTTTGGGTTTTAATCTTTTATTACTATGGAACAGTAACTGTGACATTTAAATTTTAACCCCCACACAAATGTGTGTATGTATTCTCATTACTTGCAGACTCTGTATTTGTGGGTTTGCCTACTTGCTAACATTTATTTGTAACCCCCAAATCAATAAGTACAGTGCATTTATCGTCATTTGCAGCCATCACAAAGAAGCACAAAAAGTTGAGTTGCCCAATGCTCATGTTCCTAGCTAAGGTCTAACCAGGAGACATTCTGCTGTCTTGTTTTAGCTGTCATACTATAAACAAGTATCATTTTCACAATCTTACTGTTTATTGAATGTCATACTTTTTATATGCTCATGTTTTGGGGGGAGTTATTTCACTGGTTAAAATGGTCCCCTTGCATAGTGCTGACGTGGTTTCTGGTGTTCCTAAGAGCAAGAAGGCTGTGAATTGCCTTACAGAGGAAATATGTGTGTTAGGTAAACTTTGCTCAGACCTGAGTTATACCATGAGTGAACCAACAATATACAAAAAGAAGGTGACTTCAAACAAAAACACTCATAAAACAAGGTTATGTATTGATCAGAAGACAAAACTGTTGTAACCAGAGGCTCTCAGGAACCTAATTCTGTGTTTTTCCTAGGAGCAATGGTTCAGTAATCATTAGTTTAGTGTTCATGACAACTTTATAGAACTACTATAAAAATAATAATTAACTGTATATACATATATACATAAATATATACCACATGTACATATATGTATACATAAAATAAGGGATTATGCATAAATGCAATTAATTTACTATTTATATATTTTTATACATATATATGCATACATATTCATATACCTAGCAATGTTCTAAAATAAAGACCCTAAAATCTATAGTCATTTAATAAAAATGTGTGGAATGATTAAATAAATATGTGGGATTTGATTAAATAAATGATTGGTTGGATAGGTGGGTGGATGGCAGGGAAGATGGGTAGAGACTTGGCAGGCTGCCTTTAAAATGCTGGTAACACCCTTTAATTCACTTTAGCCAGGATATTTGATGTATAGAAAGCTTCTATCTAGTAAATTATTTGCTATTATTGATAATATAACCAGTGGCTAACCATTATTCTAATATGGGAAAGTTTAACAGTTAATTAAACAGTTACTAAGCACACAAAAGTTATGTTAACACCATCAGGACAAGCCATCAGCCTAATGTCTCTTATTTGCTGCTATGAACATGGTAGAACTAGAAAAAATATATATATACACACTTGGCCCTCCATATGTGTGGGTTCTGAATCCTTGGATTCTACTAACTGTGAATTAAAAATGTTTGGGTGGAATCAACCTAAATGTCCATCAATGACAGACTAGATAAAGAAAGTGGTACATATACACCATGGAATATTATGCAGCCATAAAAAAGCAAGCTCATATTTTTTGTGGGAACATAAATGGAGCTGGGGACTATCATCCTTAGCAAACTGAATACCACATGTTCTCACTTATAAATGGGAGCTAAATAATAAGAACTTATTAACACAAAGAGGAAACAACAGACACTGGGGTCTGCTTGAGTGGGGAGGATGGGAAGAGGGAGAGGAGCAGAAAAGATAACTATTGAGTACTGGCTTAATACCTGGCTGATGAAATAATATGTACAACAAACCCCCATGACACCTGTTTATCTAAGTAACAAACCTTCAGATGTACCCCCAAACCTAAAATAAAAGTGGAAGAAAGAAAGAGAGAAAGAAAAGAAAGAGAAAGGAAGGAAGGAAGGAAGGAAGGAAGGAAGGAAGGAAGGAAGGAAGGAAGGAAGGAAGGAAGGAAGGAAATATTTGGAAAAAAATTGCATCCGTACTGAACATGTATAGACTTTTTTTGTCACTATTCCCTAAACAATACAACAATGATTGACATAGCATGTATATTGTATTAGCTATTACAAGTAATCTAGAGATGATTAAAATATATAGGAGGGTATGCATAGGTTATATGCAAATCCCAAGACATTTTCTAGCAGGGACTTAAACATCTTCTGATTTTGGTACCTGAGGGAGGTCATGGAACCATGCCCTATGAAAGCCAAGGGATGACAATATCTTCTGATATTTAAGTTCAGGTCCAGGTGTTTTACACTGAAAGATATACAGTACCTTTCCTAGATATGAGTAATAGATCATGTGCTATTTTAATTTAAATTTCTATTTTACTAATGTTTTATCTTACATCTTTTTTTAAATTATCATTTTAGGGCTTGTATCCGGAATCACATGGCATCATTGACAATAATATGTATGATGTAAATCTCAACAAGAATTTTTCACTTTCTTCAGAGGAACAAAATAATCCAGCCTGGTGGCATGGGCAACCAGTATGTAGCATTCTACATGTGCCAACTGAAGTAACCTCCATTTCTCAGTGTGGCAGGAGGTCACTCTTCTTGCTCAGTGGAGCAAGTTCTATGTCACCCATATAGTTTCTAAAGACTGAGGGTGGGAAGGTGTTTTACCACTATTTGTAACTTGAATTTTTAAAACATTTATGGCTGTTAACTCAAATAGCTATGTTTAAACTTGGGTGTTGGGTTATAAATGTATCTATCTGGAAGTTACTCAGAAAGATTATCTGTTAATGTTTTTCCTCATTTTGTTTGGTAATTTTTTTTTTTTTTTTTTTTTTTGAGACAGAGTCTTACTCTGTCATCAGGCTGGCATGCAGTGGTGCGATCTCAGCTTACTGTAACCTCCGCTTCTTGGATTCAAGCAATTCTCCTGCCTCAGCCTCCTGAGTAGCTGGGACTACAGGGACGCACCACCATGCCCAGCTAATTTTTTTGTACTTTTAGTAGAGATGGGGTTTCACCATGTTGGCCAGGATGATCTCGATCTCCTGACCTTGTGATCCACCTGCCTCAGCCTCCCAAAGTGCTGGGATTACAGGTTGTAATTCTTTTAAAGGGAGAGAGGAACCATCTAATTTTACCAGTTTGAAAAGAAATGATCTTGCTTCTTAGTAGCTTGCTATGTTTTTGGTTTTTGAGGCAGATTCTTAGATAATTATGTCTTTTAATTGTTACAAAGATTAAAATTTCAACTTTAATACATGTTGCAACTGTTAATCTTGTTTAGTTTCTGGTAAGGTACACCATTTCTACCCAAAGTAATTATTGACTTTCGCTTATCCTAAATTTTCTCTTCTTACAGATGTGGCTGACAGCAATGTATCAAGGTTTAAAAGCCGCCACCTACTTTTGGCCTGGATCAGAAGTGGCTATAAATGGCTCCTTTCCTTCCATATACATGCCTTACAACCGGTAGTGAAAGTGAAGCACTTTCAGATATTCTCCCAGTTAGGCAGAAATGATCAGGATGTTTTTGTCTTAATCTTGGTGGCAATTCCATTAATCCAGTTGTTTAAGCCAAAAATCTTGGAAGTCACCATTGACTCCTTTCCTTTATATCACTCAAGCAGTCTCTCAGTAAATGCTTTTGGCTCTAATTAAAAATCTATGTAGCCTGAGAACTTTTAATTACCTCTAGCATTACCACTCTGGTTCGAGCTGTCATCTCTTGCCTGTATTAACTGCAGTTGCCTCTTTACTCATCTCTCTACTTCTAGTCTCATCCCACCCACCAGAGGGATTCCTTTAAAATGCAAGTCCAGCCGGGTGCGGTGGCTCACGCCTGTAATCGCAACAGTTTGGGAGGCTGAGATGGGCTGATCTCTTGCGGTCAGGAGTTCAAGACCAGCCTGGCCAACATGGTGAAACCCCATCTCTACCAGAAGAAAAAATACAAAAATTAGCCAGGCATTGTGGCACATTGTCTGTAATCCTGGGTACTCTGGAGGCTGAGGCAGGAGAATAGCTTGAACCCAGGAGGCAGAGGTTGCAGTGAGCTGAGATCAGGGACTCCTGCAGTCTGAGCGACAGAACGAGACTCCATCTCAAATAAATAAAATAAAATAAAATGCAAGTCCAATTATGGCATTATTTGGCACCAAAACTTCAGTGGCTCCCTGTATCACTCAGAGTAAAAGCTTACAAGGCCCTATGTGGTATGACCTCTGGTGTCCCCTTACCTCTCTGACCTCCTCTTCTGCTACTCCCTCAGGTGCTCACTCTGAACTCCTTGGTGGACTTCAACATACTAGGCTTGCTTCTGCTGCAGGACATTGCACTGGCTGTTCACCCTCCCTGAGATGATTTGCTTCATGGATCTGAATGCCTACTCTTTCACTGCCTTCTGGCGCTGTTGAAAAATTACCTTCTCAATATTGTCTTACCCCAGTTATACTTAAGATTTAAAATTCCAAACCACCTTCATCTCAGTTACTCTGCTGTAGTGTTTTTTTTTTTTTTTTTTTTTTTTTTGGTCCACAGCATTTATCACCTTTTAATACACTATATATTTTATTTTTATGTTAGGTCAATTGTTTGTTACTTGTTTTCCTGCACTAGAATGTAATCTTTGGTTTGCTCACTGATAAATTCTGTTTTGAATAAACAAATAGTATCTGGCAATAGATGTTCAATATATGCATATGCATAAATTTTTAAAAATGGAATTAATGGATCATAATCAATTGTCTTTTATTTCATTTGGGGGAAACTGAAGGAGAGAAGGGTGGGGTGAAATAAAACAATCTGCATTTCATTTATAGTGCTGCAAGTGCATCTATAAACAGAAATCCCTTTGAATAATAGTGAATACCTTTCAGTATTGTGATTATATAGGAACACAAAATGGATAGCTGAAGATATTAACCTTTCTGAATAGGAATGTAATGGAGTTATTCTTGATTTGATTCATTTTAAAGAATTATTTCTACTCTATTTTTTCAGAAGTGTCCCATATGAAGAGAGGATTTCTACATTGTTAAAATGGCTGGACCTGCCCAAAGCTGAAAGGTAATGTCGAGTATCAGAAAAGTGCTGGCATAGTGGCATATATATGGGTAAAAAATGAAGTTATTTCTTCACTTTAAATTACAATTTTTGGCTATTTTTGAAACAATGTGGCATTGCCTTTTAATGGGCACTTTTCATGAATTATTCCTGGCTGGGCAGGGGGGTCTCACTCATGTAATCCCAGCACTTTGGGAGGTTGAGGCAGGAGGATCACTTGAGCCCAGGAGTCCCAGCCAGCCTGGACAACATAGTGAAACCCTGTCTCTAAAAAAAAGTAAAGAAACCAGCTGGTCATGGTTGTACGCAGTTGTAGTCCTAACTACTTGGGAGGCTGTGGTGGGATGATCACTTGAGCTCAGAAGTTTGAGGCTGCAGTGAGCTATGATCATGCCATTGCCCTTCAGCCTGGGTGACACAGTGAGACTCTGTCTCAAAAATAAGATAAAGGAAATTATTCCTGAGAGCTGGTAACTTTTCGTTTTCAAAAATGTGGTTGACATTATTGAACGACAGAGATAGCGCTAACACCAGAGAGCAGAGGCAAATATCACAGAACCAAAGCCAGATGTGGAATGGAGCAGAGCTGGGAGCAGGCCTGACACTCAGTTATAAGGACTGACTCCAAGAGCCAGAGGTGCTCCATCAAGCCCATGCCCACAGATTGGAGTGAGCATGGAGGCTCACTGAAGGCTAACCAGGAGCTCCAGGTAAACAGTGCATCAGAAACCAGACACCGGAAGAAAGAACTTAGTATAACAGAACCAAGAATCAGCAAAAAGTCAGAAACTGGGAAACAGAAAGGACTGGGGCACACCAAAACTGGTCTTAACTGCAAGAACAAAACAGAATTTCACTACAGGGGCGTACCAGTGCTTATATCTGGGAAAGTCTTATTTACTTCCTGTCAGGAAACCTATCCTTGCTGGAGCCAAGTAGAACTACCGGGTCTGAACAAAGAGGAGGAGGTTAGAGAGAAAGAAAAGGCAATGGCCGGCAAGCCCGAGATCTACAAAATCCCCCAATCCAGCCTGTAAGTTTATCGCAAATTGATAACATATTTCTGTTTCAATTTTACCCTTAGACCCAGTTTTTATACCATGTATTTTGAAGAACCTGATTCCTCTGGACATGCAGGTGGACCAGTCAGTGCCAGAGTAAGTTTGTTTTGTTTTGTTTTAAAAAAACAAAACAATGTAAAATCATCTAACCCTAACCTGCAAAACAAAATAGTATTCTTTAACTTCTACTGAGCACAAATGTCTTTGATACATACACAAGAAGATCAAAATAGTTGAAGGTATAAAAGGGATGCCATGGTTCAACTGCCTTCTTAACCATAAAATAGTTGAAATTCTAGAAAGGACAACTGCGTTATTAACTATATCTTGAATCATTTGAAAAACTATCATTGAATACTTAGATGTGGCACTGTTGTTGCATATAATGAAAACATGAAGGCTAGATATTACACAAACCGATTCATACTAGTGTGGTGTATTTCAGGCTAAGTCACCTGCAAGTCCATTGTGGTATATCCAGCTGTCACTCTCCCACAGTTCATTTGTAAGTTCCTTATAACTGGATTTAACATGTTATTGCCTCAGGCAGAGTTATTTCCCTTCTAGGATCCCATTATCATTGAAGTGGACTCTCTAATATAAGTTTATTCATTATCTAGGCCATTCTGTTATGATTTTACTACACAAACATAGTCCTTAAATATTGCTTTTAGCAAAACAAGTCATTCTGTCTTCTAAACTCCATTAAAGCCTCTATTGTCTCGGACATAATAGAAAGTTGCAAAGGCTGCCATGGGTATGGCATTTCCCCACCCCATGGAAACTCGTTGAACAATTGCCCTCAATTGGAATGCAAGCATATTCGTTCTGGCATCATGCCTTTGCAATTTCTCAGAAAAGCTTTTTTTCCTTCCTTCCTATTAGGCCAAAATGATTCATAATATAGGGACTTGCTCAAGCCTCACCACTTTTAAGCCTTGGGCCTCTGTTATATTCCTGCACAGCTCTAGACTGTATCACAGAATTGTACTCCTTTTCAGGTTACTCTAAGCGTAAACTATCTAAAATATATTTACCATGCCTTCTTTTTATTTTATTTTATTTTTTCTTTATTTATTTTTTGAGATGGAGTCTTGCTCTGTCACCCAGGCTGGAGTGCAGTGGCGCAGTCTTGGCTGTCTGCAACCTCCATGTCCCGAGTTCAAGCAATTCTCCTGTCTTAGCCTCCTGAGTAGCTGGGACTACAGGCATGCGCCACCATGCTAGGCTAATTTTTGTATTTTTAGTAGAGACGGGGTTTCACCATGTTGGCCAGGATGGTCTTGAACTCCTGACCTCAAGGTGATCCACCTGCCTCGGCCTCCCAAAGTGCTAGGATTACAGGCATGAACCACCTCGCCCAGCCGTTCTTTTCTATTTTAACTGTTAGCCGTGTTTGATATGATTTGTCATTTGAGAAGGGACACTGTATTTGCATTCGTTGCACCACGGGAGCTGACTTGAGATTAGGCACCATGTCCTTCCCCCCCCCCCCCATTCAGTGGTCTAGTTTAAAACCCAAGTACATTCTAAGTATAATTTTTAAAAGTGCTGCAAAGGAAAAGATCAAGGTTCCCTCAAGAGATCTACCTAGGCAGTCTCAATCTAGTCTAGAGTAGGGTGCAAATTTGGCCTGGTTAGGAGACTCTCCTCTGAGTGACAAAAAGGAAACAGAATTTGCAAGTGGGCTTATTGAGGAAGGAACTGTGCATATTGGAGGAACACTTAAAATGAGCAAATAGTCTGACAAACAATTGACTAGATGGCTCAGCAAGTAGACAGCGTGATCATGGTAAGAATAATAGTAGCAACTCACCCTTATTTGTGCTCTGCTGTGCCAGAGTTGTTGGACAAGCTATGAGAATTATCTCTCACCAATGTCTGCAGCATTGTGAAACAGGGAAGAGGGCTAAAAGGAAGCCCAGAGAAGGAGTCAGGCATCAAATTCTGCAGGGCCTTGCAAGTCCTTACAGGCTAGAAAAAGTAAAACGAGAAGCATTGTAATAAGGGAGGTGACAGGACCAGATCTGTGTGTGTTTAGAGATCACTTTTATTTTGTAAGAGGAAAAGACAAGTGGGAAGAGACAGGTTAGCTTTCCCAACATTCCAGAAAAGAGATAACAGTGACTTGGACTACGGTAGAGGCAACCATTGTGGATGGAAGATGATATAACTGAGATTCATTTAGGAGATAGACTTGGCATGACTTAGTGTGAGCTGGGTGAGGGGGTTGGGGGATCAAGATTGATTTCCTAGTTTCTATCATGTGCCGGCAGGTGGTCCCATTTATATTAATAAGACCACTAAAGGAGGGTAAGTTTGGGGAGATGCTTGTTTTGCAATTGAGGTGCCTGTGTTGTCCAAATGAAGATGTCCAGAAGGCAAATGAATGTGGATTTAAAGCTCAAAGGAGGTGAAGATCTGGGATATTAGCAGCATATAGATGGCGCATGGAAGTGGAGATGGCCTAAGGAGAAAGTAAAGTGAGAAAATAGAAGGGTTAGGACCAAATGTCACTTAAAACTTGAGGAGAAGAGGCAAATGAATGGAAGTCGAAGGTTTTGTGACTTCTTAATTATTATTGTGAGTTTTAATCACATACCTTTAATCAGAATTAATATGACTTATAAATTGACAGTAAAAAGGCTATTTTAGTTTGTTTTGGCCCATTCACTAAGTGGAAAACTTATCACTCAAACTTATCAAAGCTACTCAATTGTTTCCTATTATAGGAATTTCTTGTTTCTTTTCTTTGGCTGAGTGAGAGTTGGGGACTGGCATTTCATGTTCTATCGAGTGTGTACTTCGTGACAGAATCTGGTTTCAAGAAGTGTGTAATGAGTTGGGTTGCATGATCCCTTCCCTGCGAGAACTCATGCTCTCCTTGAGAGGCAGACAAGTACACAGATGATTTCAAAACTGTAGAGTCCAATGGCAGCCAGATGCCAGGGTGCTGGCAGAGGACAGAAGAAGGGGAGTTCTCGGTGTGGTTGGGGGAGTGAGTCAGATGACTATGTAAAAGAGGACATTATGTCATGACAACAGGTGGAAACAGTGACTCTCGCTGGCAAAGCAAAGTGTGGGTCACCCTAAGACTGAAGGCCAGGAAAGCATCTTGGAGTTGATGACGGATTGAGCAGTAGGTAGAGAGTGGCTTGTGTTCAAGTTCTGCTCTGTCCCTTATTAACTGAAGGACTGTGAACATGTCACTTAACTTCTTTAAACCTCAAGTTTCCTGACCTTTACAACTGGCCATTCCAGTAGCTCCATCCATGAATATTTGCTGTGAGGATTTCAAGAGACAATGCACTAAAGATCTTAACTCTATCAGGCTTGTAAAATTCCTTCTCAGAAAAAGAAAAAGAGAGGCAATCATTGTTATAATAGTACTCTGAGAGATAAAATATTTCTTTCCCCAATCCATTGCTATTATGCTTTCTTATTCTCTGGAAAAAAAAAAAACACAGAAAATTTACATCAGTGAAATTTACTTAAACTTTATGTCAGTTCCATGAATTATATTCATAAAGTGTAGAAAATTTAAAAACACAAAGCAGTGAGTATAAACAATAAAATAAAAATGAACTCTAATTCTACTATTTAGAGACAACCACTCTCAATAGTACTTTGATATATTTCCTTTTAATATTCTGTGCATGCATGTTTACTAAGAAATGCTAAATATATTTCAAAACAAAATCAGGATTATGCAATATGTATACAGTTTGGTTTTCATTTTTAATGCTTAACATTGTTTGTGACTATTTTCCTATGCCATTGTTTTTTGTGTATGTGAGGGGATGGAGAGAGGGAGTTTCACTCTTTTGCCCAGGCTAGAGTGAAATGCTGCAATCTTGGCTTACCGCCTCCTGAGGTTCAAGTGATTCTCCTGCCTCAGCTTCCTGAGTAGCTGGAATTACAGGAATCTCCTGCCACCATGCCCAACTAATGTTTACATTTTTAGTAAAAATGGGGTTTCGCCATGTTGGCCAGGCTGGTCTCGAACTCCTGACTTCAGGTGATCCACCTGCCTCAGCCTCCCAAAGTGTTAGGATTACAGGCCTGAGCCACCACACCCAGCCCCATTGTTCTTTAAAAGTATCTTTTCATGGCTATAGAGTAAGTCTTCTTAAAAATGTGTCATCATTTATTTTTCCTTGAGGCCAAACGTGTTAGCTCACACCTGTAATTCCAACACTTTGAGAGGCTGAGGCAGGAGGATCACTTGAGCCCAGGAGTTTGAGACCAGCCTGGGAAACTTAATGAGATCTAATCTCTACAAAAAATTAAAGAATTAGCCAGGCATGATGCTGTCCACCTATGGTGCCAGCTACTCAGGAGGAGGATTGCTTTAGCCCATAAGATCAAAGCTGCAGTGAGCGGTGATTGTGCCACTTTACTCTAGCCTGGGCAACAGAGTAAGACCCTGTCCCTAAAAATAAATAAATAAATAATTTTTCCTTGCATTTAAATTATAAATCAATAATGTGATGACTGTGTTCATATGCAAGTCTCCATTTGTACTCCAAGTGTTGACTTAGGACAAATGCCCAGAAGTAGAATTATTGGGTTACAGATGCTGTTTTTAACTCTTTGGAAACCTATTGTCACATGACCCTCTGGAAGGTGTGTGACCTTTAGGCTGTCTTAGAAGTATCTGTCCACTCTTCTCTCTAACTTAGAGCATCACTATGAAAATCTTTACAGTTGGATAGTGTTTGTTGACATTCAGCATGGTTTCACGTATTTATTGGCCAGCAGGCTATCTTCCTTTGTAGGAAGCATGGTTTAGATTTTTGTTTATAGAAATTTAGGGAATTGGTATTTGATGAATATGGTAGCATGGGTGCTAGTGCTGGGCTCTGATGTTCTGTTTCAAAACCAGCAGTTTCAGAGACTGATATGTGTTTAATTTTTACTTGATTAGATAATGGTTTGGCTAATTAAGACAATTCATTATGACAATCTTCACTCCAAATTATTTTTTAGGTAATTAAAGCCTTACAGGTAGTAGATCATGCTTTTGGGATGTTGATGGAAGGCCTAAAGCAGCGGAATTTGCACAACTGTGTCAATATCATCCTTCTGGCTGACCATGGTATGCTTTTAAAAACATTCTTATTTTATTATTGATTATAATTTATCACTTCAGGAATCATACACAGATAACAGTGATATTTTAAATTCTCTACTTCTAGACCTAAAGTCTCTTGAAGAAGCAAGGAATGAATTGTGGTAGATTGTGATGAAAAGAGAACTACATTACATTTTCTAGTTTAATTATTCTAATAGTCCTGAAAACCTACCCATAGACACTATGTTTTGTAAAAGTGGAGTTAATGATATTTAACAGGGATGTGGTTGGGTTTTTATTCAATCTAAAGGGTGTTTTGGGGCCTTCATTCCAGCCATGGTTCGTTCATGTAGATTGGCTGCAGTTTACTGTAACTGGCAAGTTTTGCCACACCGTGTGTATTTTTTTTAGTTATGTAAATAGATGTGTGTTTATTCATAGCTTTTCATCTTTAAAGTTACTGTCACCTCACATTTCTCTACTTGAGGTTAACCCTTGATTTTGATTAACCTGAATGTTAAAGGAAGTGAAACAGTGGGGACACCCTCTCCAACCTCATGCAAAATGCATTCAAACAGTTCTGAAGTACATATGCACTCATTCTACAGAATTTTTTTTTTTTTTTTTTTTTTTTTTGAGATGGTGTCTGACTCTGTCGCCCAGGCTGGAGTGCAGTGGGGCGATCTTGGCTCACTGCAAGCTCCACCTCCTGGGTTCATGCCATTTTCCTGCCTCAGCCTCCCGAGTAACTGGGACTACAGGCGCCTGCCACCACACCTGGCTAATTTTTTGTATTTTTAGTAGAGACAAGGTTTTACCATATTAGCCAGGATGGTCTTGATCTCCTGACCTCGTGATCCACCCACCTCGGCCTCCCAAAGTGCTGGGATTACAGGCGTGAGCCACTGCGCCCAGCCTCTACAGATATTTTTTAAGTGCCTAGTCAGTGCTAGGTACTTTCCTAGATATGGAGTAGATCCTTCCTAGCTAGGGTAGTCAAAGTGTCTTCTTGAGGAGGACATTTAAAGTCAAGCCCCAATATCTGTAAAGGGACCAGTCATGGGGCATGAGGAGGAAAAAGAGTGTGTCTGTAGAACTTTTGTTCATATTTTAGAACATCCAGATAATGGGAAACATAGTAATGTATTTTTAAATTTTCTAAGGTTGTTCCCTAACACTTTGCCCTATTGTTTTAAAATTAAAGAGAAACTTTTTGTGTAATTTTGTTAAAAGAAATTAATTAAAATAATAATTTATATGCAAGCCAGACACCATGGCTCAGGCCTGTAATCCCCTCACTTTAGGAGGCCGAGGCTGGTGGATCACCTGAGGTCAGGAGTTCGAGACCAGCCTAGCCAATATGGTGAAATCCCGTCTCTACTAAAAATACAAAATTAGCCGGGTGTGGTGGCACACACCTGTAGTCCCAGCTATTCGGGAGGCTGAGACAGGAGAATCGCTTGAACCCGGGAAGTGGAGGCTGCAGTGAGGCAAGATCATACCACTGCACTATAGCCTGGGCAACACAGCAAGACTATCTCAAAAAAATATATATATTATATGCAGTCTGAAAAATCTTCAAATAAAAAAAGTTAACTACCAAATCTTTTTATAGCACATACTCCTTATATAAATTTAAATTACTTTATACTTTTTTTTGAGACAGAGTCTTGTTCTGTCACTTAGGCTGGAATGCAAATGGCATGATCTCGGCTCACTACAACCGCCACCTTTGAGATTCAAATGATTCTCATGCCTTAGCCTCCTGAGTAGATGGGACTACAGGTGCACGCCACCACGCCACCATGTCTGGCTAATTTTTGTATTTTTTGGTAGAGATGGGGTTTATCATGTTGGCTAGGCTGGTCTCAAACTCCTGGCCTCAAGTGAGCCGCCCACCTCGGCCTCCCAAAGTGTTAGGTGTGAGCCACAGCCTAAATAATATACTTTTAAAAGTAAGAATTACTTCCATTAATCTATTATACGTTGAACAAATGATCTGTTTATAATATCCATCTGTGCTTCCCTCAAACATGACCCTTGTCCACTGCCACAATTTTCTGCCAGAGTAAAGTAATAGAGTGAATTGTGTAACTTCTCAGTGAAACTTGGTTTGAGATCTGTAACATAAAATGTCTTCTATTTGACATGACGGAAATCGACCGTTGCCATTTATATATGTTCAGTGGATTATTATGATTATTTTTTGATTCAGGAATGGACCAGACTTATTGTAACAAGATGGAATACATGACTGATTATTTTCCCAGAATAAACTTCTACATGTACGAAGGGCCTGCGCCCCGCATCAGAGCTCTTAATGTACCTCATGACTTTTTTAGTTGTAAGTATGAAGACACCTATATTAAAAAAAGGGTAAAACTGAAAATGAATAACCATAGTTCTCTAATTCTGAGAGGAAGTTGGGATTATCAGACTCCCTACTGACTTCTTGAGAAGACCACACAGAAACAAGTGGGAAATTCCCATGCTTAAGTACATTCTATAAAGTCTATGGTAATATCTAATATTGTTAAGTTGAAATGTATCCTACTGTGTTCTAAATGCTAAAATAATTCTTTGCTTGAAATAACTTTTAATTTAATTTTACCGGATCGTAGTTATTAATAAATGAATGTATCAAATTCATCTGAGTGGTTCACATTCTTTGCATTTGTTCGTTATCAATTGTAATGTCATTTATTTCTTTTTCTTTTGAAACAGTTAATTCTGAAGAAATTGTTAGAAACCTCAGTGTAAGTATACAATATTCTTAATACATATATTTAACTTAATGCAATTACCTTAATCTGGGTTTTTGAGAAATTCATATTTTATATTTCTAAGTCTAAGCTACTTGGAATTTATTTTTTAAATCTTCCATCAACATTATTTTATATGTGTATTAGTTGCTTTTATCTTAGCTGTTTTCATTTTGGAGCAGACACATCCAAAGAAATTAGTTTGCAATAATAGTAGCACTAAATCCTGGCTTATATTGAAAGGGCTGACGTCCCATTCAAAAGGGTGGCGTTAGCTTCAGGTAGCACCATTTTTTGTGTGACTAGTATAAGAGGATAGTGAATTACACCTCTTACAGATCTTTTTTTTTACAAGTCAAAAAGATAATCTCTTTACTCACTACTATAATTGCAACTGCTTTTGATTTGTTCCCACATCCCAAATTGTAAATAAATAAGTAGAGAAACTTCCAGATATCTTAAAGCAATATTTTTGAAAGTACAATTCACTACTCCTGGAGATACCTGGAATGGTCTTTTGTAATAGTTTTGTTATTTATTTATTTATATTTATTTTACCTTTACAGTGTTTGCTTTTATTAACTTTTTTAAAAAAAATTCAACTTTCATGTTAGATACAGAGGGTACATGTGCAGATTTGTTGCATCGGAATATTGTGTGAGTCTGAGGTTTCTAATATGGAGCCTATCGTCCTGGTAGCGAGCATTGTACCCAATAAGTAGTTTTTTAACCCACACACCTCCTCTTCCCTCTAGTAGTCCACAGTGTCTATTGTTCCCCTACTTACGTTCATGTGTGTTCAATGTTTAGCTCTCACTTATAAGTGAGAACATGCAGTATTTGGTTTTCTGTTCCTGTGTTAATTTGTTTAGGATTACGGCCTCCGGCTCCATTCATGGCGCTCCAAAGAACATGATTTCATTCTTTTTTATGGCTGTGTAGTATTCTATGGTGTATATGTACCACATTTTCTTTATCCAATCTACTATTGTTGAGCACCTGGGTTGATTCCATGTCTTTGCTATTATGAATAATGCAGCAATACACATATGAGTGTATGTGTGTTTTTGATAGAATGGTTTATTTTGGCGGAGGGTATATACACAGTAATGGAATTGCTGGGTAGAATCATATCTCTGTTTTAAGTTCTTTGAGAAATCTCTAGACTGTTTTCCACAGTGGCTGGACTAATTTACTCTTCCACCAACAGTATATAAGTGTTCTTTTTCTCTGCAACCTCACCATAGCATCTATTGTTTTTTGACTTTTGAGGGGTGGCCATTCTGACTAGTGTGAGATGGTATCTCATTGTGGTTGTCATTTGTTGACAAAAACAAGCAATTGGGAAAGGACTCAATAAACGGTGCTGGGATAACTAGCCAGCCATGTGGATGTTGAAACCAGACCCCTACCTTTTGCCATATATCAAAATTAACTCAAAATGGATTAAACATTTAAATGTAAGACCTCAAACTATAAAAATCCTGGAAGGCAACCTAGGAAATATCCTTCTTGACCTAGGTCTTGGCAAATAATTTTTGGCTAAGTCCCCAAAAGCAATTACAACAAAACAAAAAATAGACAGATGAGACCTAATTAAACTAAGAGCTTCTGCATAGCCAAAGAAACTATCAACAGAGCAAACAGCCTACAGAATGGGAGAAGATATTCACAAACTACACATCCAAGAAGGGCCTAATATCCAGAATCTATAGGGAATTTAAACAAATCAACAAGCAAAAAACAACCCCATTAAAAAGCAGGCAAAAGAAATGAAGAGACACTTCTCAAAAGAAGACATACAAGTAGCCAGCAAACATGTGAAAAAATACTCAGCTTCATTAATTTTCAGAAAAATGCAAGCCAAAACCATGATGGAATAGTTTTTATAGTTACATATTTAAAATATATTCACAAATATACATCTGCTACATGAAATTCATGAGTTCACTATTGTTTGCAATGCGACTATAACTATTTGAGTACAGGGGGTATGCAGCAACAGGCTTACCTTGGTTTATTGTGCTTCACTGCATTCTGCTTTGCAGATGTTGCATTTTTTTACCAATTGAAGGTTTTGTGGCAACTCTGCATTGAGCACGTCTATCCAGTGCCATTTTTTCAACAGCATGTGCTTGCTTCATGTCTGTGTGTCACCTTTTGTTAATTCTCACAGTACTTCAAATTTTTCATTATTATTATATATGCTCTGGTGATCTGTGATCAGTTATCTTTGATGTTACTATTGTAATTGTTTTGGGGCCTCCTGAATCCTACCCACAGAAGATGGCAAACTTAACAGATAAATGTTACGTGTGTGCTGATTGCTTCACAAACTGGCTGTTTCCCTTCCCGTCCCCTTCCTCTCCTCTGGACTCTCTATTCCCTGAGGCATAACGATATTGAAATTAGGCCAATTAGTAACACTACAATGGCTTCTAAATGTTAAAGTAAAAGGAATAGTTACACATTTCTCATTTTAAATCAAAAGCTAGAAATGATTAAGCTTAATGAAGAAGGCATGTTGAAAGTTAAGATAGGCCAAAAGCTAGGCCTGTTGCACCAGACAATTAGCCAAATTGTCAAAACAAAGGAAAAGTTCTTGAAGGAAATGAGAAGTGCTATTCTAGTGAATATATAAATAATAACAAAGTGAAACAGCCTCATTGCTGACATGGAGAAAGTTTTGGTGGCTGGATACAAAATCAACCAGCCACAACAGTCTTTTAAGCCAAAACCTAATTCAGAGCAAGACGCTAACTCTGTTCAACTTTATGAAGGCTGAGATGGGTGAGGAAGTTGCAGAAGAAAAGTTTAAAGCTAGCAGAGGTTTGTTAGTGAGGTTTAAAGAAAGAAGCCTTCTGGCCAGGTGAGGTGGCTCACGCCTGTAATCCTAGTACTTTGGGAGGCTGAGGCGGATGGATCACTTGAGGTCAGGAGTTTGAAACCAGCCTAGCCAACATGGTGAAACCCCATCTCTACTAAAAATACACAAAAAAATTAGCCGGCATGGTAGTGGGCACCTGTTATCCCAGCTACTTGGGAGGCTGAAGCAGGAGAATTGCTTGAACCCGGAAGGTGGAGGTTGCAATGAGCTGAGATCATGCCACTGCACTCCAACCTAGTCAACAGAGTGAGACTCTATCTAAAAGAAAAAAAAAAAAAAAAAAAAAAAAAAAGAAGCCTTCTCCATAACAGAAAAGTGCAAGGTGAAGCAGCAAGTATTTGTGATGATATAGAAGCGGCAGTAAGTTATCCAGAAGATCTAGCTAAGATCATTGATGAAAATGGCCACACTAAGCAACGTATTTTCAATGTAGAGGAAACAGCCTTCCATTGGAAGAAGATGCCATCTAGGACTTTCATAGCTAGAGAACAGAAGTCATTGTTGACTTCAAAACTTCAAAGGACAGGCTGACTCTTTTATTAGGGGCTAATGCAGCTGGTGACTTGAAGTTGAGCCAATGCTCATTCTGAAAATCCTAGGACCCTTATGATTTATGCTCAATCTACTCTACCTGTGCTCTGTAAATGGAAGAACAAAGCCTGCATGACAGCTCACCTGTTTATAACATCCGTTTCCTGAATATTTTAAACTCACTGTTGAGACTTTCTGCTCAGAAAAAAAGATTCCTTTCTAAAGATTGCTACTTACTGAGAATATACCTGGTCACCCAAGAGCTCTGATAGAGATGTACAAGGAGATGGATATTTTCATGTCTGCTAACACAACATCTATTCTGCAGGCCATGGATCAAGGAGCAATGTTAACTTTTAAGTCTTATTCTTTAAGAAATACATTTCATAAGACTATTGTCATAAATAATACCTCTCATCTGAGCAAAGTATTATAAAGTGAAAACCTTCTGGAAATGATTCACCACTCTAGATACCATTAAAAACATTTGTGATTTGTGGGAGGTCAAAATATCGGCATTAATAGGAGTTTGGAAGAAATTGATTCCAACCCTCCTGGATAACTTTGAGGGGTTCATGACTTCAACAGAGGAAGTAATTACAGTCGTGGTAAAAATAGCAAGAGAGGCCAGGCGTGGTGGCTCATGCCTGTAATCCCTGCACTTTGGGAGACCAAGGAGGGCAGATCATGAGGTCAGGAGATCGAGACCATCCTGGCTAACATGGTGAAACCGCGTCTATACTAAAGATACAAAAAATTAGCTGGGCGCAGTGGTGGGCGCCTGTAGTACCAGCTACTGGGGAGGCTGAGGCAGGAAAATGGCGTGAACCTGGGAAGCGGAGCTTGCAGTGAGCCGAGATCACACCACTGCACTCCGGCCTGGGCTACAGAGCCAGAATCTGTCTCAAAAAAAAAAAAAAAAAAAAGAGAGAGAGAGAGAGAGAACTAGAATCAGAAATGGAGCCTGTAGCTGTGACTGAATTGCTATAATCTCATGAGAAAACTTGAACAGATGAAGAGCTGCTTCTTATGGGTGAGTAAAGAAAGTGGTTTCTTGAGATGGAATCTAACCCTGTGAAGATGCCATAAACATTGTTGAAAAGACAACAAAGGATTTAAAATATTCCATAAACTTGGTGGATAAAGCAGCAGCTTTGAGAGGACTTGAGAGGATTGACTCTAATTTTGAAGGAATTTCTACTGTGTAAAATGCTATAAAACAGTTTTGGATGCTACAGAGAAATACTTTGTGAAAGGCAGAGTCCACTGATGCAGCCAACTTCATTTTTGTCTCATTTTAAGAAATTACCACAGCCACCTCAGCCTTCAGCAACCACCATTTTGATCAGTCATCAGCCATCAACATTAAAGCAAGGCCCTCTACCAGCAAAAAGATGACAACTCACTGAAGGCTCAGAGGATCATTGGCATTTTTAGCAATTAAGAAATTTAAAATTCAGGTATGTACTTTTTAGACATAGTGCTGTTGCACACTGAAAAGATTATAGTATAGTGTAAACATGACTTTTATGTGCACTGGAAAACCAGTTCATACAACTTGCTTTATTGTGGTGGTCTGGAACTGAGTTCAAAATATCTCCAAGGTATGCCTGTAGAGTAAAATCTCTGAGGATGGAGTGCGAAGGACTGCAGATGAACACTGAGCAAAGACTGGTTAATATAATCTGGGACCCACTGCAAGTTTCAAGTAGAATGGCCTTTAGAGCAGAAATTCTTTACAGTAATGATCACTCTGTTTTTCTCTCAACACCTTCCAGTATGCTGAGCTTGAGTAAAAACTGTAGACATTCTTGCACCCTCTTCTGGTGAAATGTATACATGCAATGTGTTCATGCTGAGTGGATGCATAGTTCAGAAGTTTCAACATGCGCACTCTCTAAATCCACATATGGTTTTCTTTCTGTTTCATCACCTCATGATCCCCATAACTGAAGCTCTGTTGGTGAGGAAGGGTAAATCTCTAATAATCCCAGTTGTGCAAGGGGATTGAGTATCGCCGGCTTTGGAAATCCGTTGTATGGCATCACAGATATGGACTGGGCCTGGAGTTACAGAGCCCCAAAGAAATGAACTACCATTTCACATAGTCCATCCTTCCCAGGAAAGTATTTCATGTGGTATTACAATATTCCCAGCAGTGCTGTTTTGTGGACCTATATTGAGTTTATTTTGGACAGACATAACCAAGCATGAAGTGGCAACTTTTTAAGTTCTACAGCACTCTGACTACATGAGAGACATCACTACCATTTATTCTGAGATAAAATGTCAAAAACTGGGCCGGGCGTGGTGGCTCATTCCTGTAATTCCAGCACTTTGGGAGACCGAGGTGGGTGGATCACTTGAGGTCAGGAGTTCAAGACTATCCTGGCCAACATAGTGAAACGTCTTCTCTATTAAAAATACAAAAATTAGCCGGGCATGGTGGTGGATACCTGTAATCCCAGCTACTCTGGAGGTTGAGGCAGGAGAATTGCTTGAACCCAGGAGGTGGAGGTTGCAGTGAGCCAAGATCACACCACTGCACTCCAGCCTGGGTGATAGCGCAAGACTCAGTCAAAAGAGAGAGAGAGAGAGAGAGAGAGAGAGAGAAGAAAAAAGTCAAAAATTGTATCTCAACTCTGGAGACTTCATTCCAAATTCTCGAATGCAAAGAATCACTGGTACTTCTTCGCAGGTAGGCAGTGTGCCTTTCGTTTTCTCTGGATTTACTCTGGCTACACACAAGTGTGACGGATTACACACAGGGACAATTTATAGTTGATTCCTTGCATCTTGGAGGAAGCTGCATACTCGGCAGCTGCCAGCTTGTGCCTGCCTGCAAGTTACAAAAATATTGGCTTAAGAGAGAAGTAATGATAAATAAAACAGTAGAAGCATAAGAAGCCTGGAAAATATACCAAAATAGACAAGAAAAACTGGCAAAAATATGTTTGCAATATATACTTTTGTTTTTCCTCTTTTATTCTCTAAACTCTCCTTGCTCTCCCACTGTCTGTATTTTGTTTAAATTTTATTTGTGTAAATTATGTGCTTCATAATTTCTCTTATTTTTCTTATCTAAATTGTCCCTGAGATAATAGTGACACACACTTGTTAATGTATATGATATATTGTGGTTTAAAATAAATAAGAAAATGAGGAAATAGGAAAAATTTCATCTTCTTTGTTTATGGTTTTTCTTCTTGTTTCTCAAAATGGTCATGAGGGAGAGAAAGTTCCTTTGTAGTTCTATTTTTCATTACCTCATTTTTCTTTTACATAAATAGATACCAATGTGATTTGCATTTCTACAATTTTAAAATATGCCATACAGTCATAATTATTAAAGAAACAAAATTTTACTCCAATTTGTAAGGAACCCACGATATTTTTTACAAATAGGGAGATTATAATAGGTTTCAAAAGCCATTGACTTGATTGGAAAACTAAGCAAATGTAGGTTATTTAAAAGATAAATTGAGTCTGTTGGAAAGTACTTTTTTGTGCAATTAAAGTAAATTAAAAGTGACACACACTTGATATATATGATATATTGTGGTTTAAAATAAATGAGAAGAGAAAATAGGAAAAATTTCATTTTAAAGTAATTTAAAACTACTTTTAAATTTTTTTACTCATATCTACTAATATGGTATTTATTTTTATATGTAATTTAGACTCAAAAGTTGTCATTGTCTTTCTAAATCTAGATGTCTGTCCATTTCTGTTAAAAAAGAGGGTAATTTATAGTGGTTTACTATATAATATATATGGTTATATATGATACATGATATAACCATATATCATATATTATATATAATATATAATATAGCCATATATCATATATTATATAGTTCTATATGATATATGGTATATGGTTATATAATCTATATTATATAATATATAATTATATATATATATTTTATATATAAAATATATAATACGGTTTTATATTACATATTATATAATATAGTTTATATTATATATTATATAATATAGTTTATTATAATATTATATATTATATAATATAGTTTCTTTATTATATATTATATAGTTATATATTATATATTATATAATATATTATAGTTATATATTATATATAATATAAATATATAATACATAACTATTATACAATATATAATACATAACCATATATCGTATATCATATTTTATAATATATAGTAATATATTATGCATTATATATGATGATATGTATATATGTGTGATGATATATAGTTATATATTATACATTATATATGATATAGTTATGTATTATACATTACATGTGAAATATATAATATATAACCATATATCACATATCATATATTTTATAATATATAGTCATATATTATATATTATATATAGTGATATGTATATATGATATGTGATATATATGATATACAGTTATATATAATACATTATATAGGATATATAGTTATATATAATATATATGGTTAGATATTATATATAATATATGGTTATACGCACATACACCCCCCCACCAGGAATAAAAACTGAAAACATTAACTGATAATTTAAATCAGATTTTTTATTTTTTTGAGAGAGTCTCACTCTGTGGCCCAGGCTGGAATGCAATGGCATGATCTTGGCTTACTGCAACCTCTGCCTCCTGTGTTAAATCAGATTTTTAATTGCAACCTGATTATCATTGCAATGATAAAAGTAATAACCAGGGAATCTGACTACATCGGTAATAGGTTTAATATTCCTATTGTATTAGCCAAGCTGAAATCCCCTTACCTTTAAAAGGTGCTTCATAAATTGACGTAGAAGATGAACTTTTAAAATTAATTTGCATATCTTCTGTATCATACGGAAATACTTACTTGCTTTTCAGTGCCGAAAACCCGATCAGCACTTCAAACCCTATTTGACTCCTGATTTGCCAAAGCGACTACACTATGCCAAGAACGTCAGAATCGACAAAGTTCATCTCTTTGTGGATCGACAATGGCTGGCTGTTGGGTTCGTGCATCTATTTGCTTATCTCATAATGCCTTTAACAACCATCTGTCATTATAAGTCTACTTAACCTTACCCTGCTATTATCATCACTGTGAATTTTCCTGAGCATTGATATTTTCTTGACTTTTTGCATGCTATTTAGCAGTTCTGCATTTGAAGTGATTGTTATTAGATTACTGATTTTAGCATCCTTATCTTCACAATATAGGTGAGAATGAGGGGTAAGGCTAAGACTGTGCCCAGGGACTGTAAGTGCCAGCACCTTCTTACCCCCACTATGCTGTCCATTAAGGCAGCAGACAGAGGATATCAGCTGTCTTTCAGCCTGATAGAGAGTGAGTGATTACACAACTCTTTAAGACCTTTGTCATCTTTGTGGTTTTTATAAAAGAGCACATATAGGGCTGTAAGACCAAGCTAATGAATTAGTTGTAACATTTATTTCTTATTACTATTTATAATTGTAATTTATGTTGATTATTGAAACATTTGCAAAATTTAAATGTGCTTAGAGAAAACAAAAACCATTTTTGACTTTGTGCATGCTATTTAGCAGTTCTGCATTTCAAGTGATTGTTATTACACATTATGACTTACTCCATCCCAAATAACCAGTTAATCCATTGATTCAACGTTTTATTGTATGCTTGTCATGTATGCGCCAGGCCCTGCTCTAAGCATTTGAGATACAGATCTGTCTCCTGCTCTCATGTACTGTAGTGGAAAAAACTGAAAATAAGCCAGCAAACAAATAAATATACACTTTGTGATAGCTAAACTGACAATTCCTATTTTTGAATTTCATACTAGCACTTTTTTCCTCATGCATAAGTAGATATAAAAAGTATCTGGACTTTACGGCATTTTTCTAGCCTATTTAATATGTATGAATGTAATGCCAGGGGGATAGAATGACAATGGCAATACAGTGGCTAAGAGATGTTTAACAAAGAAAAAGGAGATGACACTTTGGGAGGCCGATGTGCACAGGTCACTTTAGGTCCGGAGTTCGAGACCAGCCTGGCCAACATAATGAAAAATACAAAAAATTTATAAAAATACAAAAATTAGCCAGGCATGGTGGCACAGTAATCCAAGCTACTTGAGAGGCTGAGGCAGGAGAATTGCTTGAACCCGTGAGGCGGAGGTCGCAGTGAGCCAAGATGGCACCACTGCACTCCAGCCTGGGCAACAGAAAAAATTAATATTAGATAAAAAAAAAAAAAAAAAAAAAAAAAAAAAAAAAAGGGAAGAAAGGAAAGGAAAGCAAAGGAAAAGGAGATGAAAGAAGACAAGGGACAAGGGAATTAGGCTCCAACATTCAGGATCAGGAACTGGGAATTTGGCTAAGCCTATTCTACAAAATAACCTGGAAACCTGTTTGGCCTGAGAATGCAGTTTCACAGTGGTTCACTAGATGGCACGGACCCCTCTCTTTGGGATCAAAGTTCATTAACCCTTTGTGTACTGTGGCTCAGGACATACTCTAGAAAGTATTTTCCTTAAATATGTGAACGAAATTAAGCTCTACTAATACTATATACAATTTTTAGTAACTTAGGTATGTAATATATAAATATATGTCCAAGTTGGGGTGCATTCTGCAAATATTTACTGGTGAGAGTCTAACACCAAAGAAGTTAGGTCACTGGTACAGGAGAAAGGGCTATAAAGTGAGAGCTCACCCACCCAAATACCTCTGGGTATCATGCATTAATACCCAATCTCAAATGGTGAGCTGTTTATTCTTTTTAAAAACCAGCACCGAAATGTTAAAAGAACTGCAACCCAAGAGTTCACAGTCAGGCTCCCCACCTGGCTAGGTTGTGGGAACTAGGAAAAATTAATATCTTAGAGTCTAATTTTTCTCATCTGTAACACAGGATTAGCCTAGTTTTATTAGTTTCTTGCCATTAACATATGAAGTAAACTAATTTACATCAAAGGAAATTTTGAATACAGCCTTAACAAGAGAGCAAGTGAAGAATCTAATCTGGGCCAGGCACGGTGGCTCATGCCTGTAATCCCAGCACTTTGGGAGGCTGAGATGAGCAGATCACAAGGTCAGGAGTTCCAGACTAGCCTGGCCAACATGGTGAAACCCCATCTCTACTAAAAAAATACAAAAATTAACCAGGCCTAGTGGTGTGTGCCTGTAATCCCCGCTACTCGGGAGGCTGAGGCAAGATAATTGCTTGAACCCGGGAGGCGGAGGCTGCAGTGAGCCGAGATCGCACCACTGCACTCCAGCCTGGGCAACAGAGCAAGACTCTGTCTCAAAAAAAAAAAAAGAATCTAATCTCATTAAATCCTGGATTCACTCTCTCCAACTCTTAAAACACAAGCCTCTGGCTACTTATTTTCTAGTGAAGGTACATCATCTTTAATATAATGTGCATTATTTGATAACTAGTTTAGATCCCTTTTGCACAATTATAGCAAATTTCAACAGTTTGTATAATCTATTTTCATCATCATCATCATCTTTATTTTGCCTAAAATGTGTTAGATTTTACTAATTTGGGGAAACCTGATGTTTTGATATAGTAGAAGTATTAGTAAAGTGCTTTTTTAAAAATAACATGAATATTAGCTTTTTATTTTGGAACAACAACTGACAAATAAATTTCAGGCACCTTTTTAAGAACTAGAGATAACCAACAAAACACCCAACCAAAGGATCTTTCCCCAGGTAGGAAGATAACAACTATAATCAGGTGGGATAACTATTGCACAAGTACAAGGCTCAAGGAAGCAAAAATTACAGACCCAGCTGTGAATGTCAAGGAGCGTCAGAGAATGCTTCCTGATAAGGGTGGTTGCTGACTGGGTTTTGGAAGACTCACGATGGGACAGGATACATGTTGCCATATAGCAGGTCTACCATGTAGTCTGTGGGCTGTACAGTAGCATCCTGCTAACAAGGTGAGTGGGAGTGGAAATGGAATCTTTGCTCAGCTCACCAAGCCTTAATGGGGGCTGCACTGGTAGGAGGAAGGGGATTCATTATTGTTGTTGTTGTTGTTGTTGTTATTGTTTTTGCCAAAAGTGCCATCTGCTTGCCAAACCTTGAACACTGCCAGGCTGCATCCTTCAAAAGGCACCTTTTTTTCTCTCAATGATCTGCCCAGAGCACCTTTTTTTTTTTTTTTTTGAGATAGAGTCTCGCTCTATCGCTCAGGTTGGAGTGCGGTGGTGCGATCTCAGCTCACTGAAAGCTCTTCCTCCCAGGTTCACGCCATTCTCCTGCCTCAGCCTCCTGAGTACTACAGGTACTACCTCCTGGGACTACAGGCACCCTCCACCATGTCCAGCTAATTTTTTGTATTTTTAGTAGTGACAAGGATTCACCGTGCTAGCCAGATGATCTCCTGACCTCGTCATCTGCCCTCCTTGGCTTCCCAAAGCGCTGGGATTACAGATGTGAGCCACTGCACCCGGCCTGAGCACCTTTTTAAAGCCAGCAGTAGCTCTAGGGCAAGGAAGGGTAAAGAGAAGGAGGCAGGTTTCCAGATGGAAGAACTAGATTCCAGCAGTTGCAAGTAGTTCTGCATTGCTGGAGCACTGAGTGCGTGAAGCTATCATGTGTACAAAGGACCTTATCTGAAATGGCAAAGGAGTGTGACTTTGATCTTGAAGAAAGTAGGCCGTTGGTAGATACAGGTGGCTTGAGGTGAATACAGGGATATCTGTACTTGGAGAGTTCCTTCGAGATGCTACATGGACAAGAATGGTCTAGCACAGTGGTCCACAACCCTTTAGGCACCAGGGACTGGTTTCATGGAAGACAGTTTTTCCAGGGTCAGGGCGGGAAGTGGGGGATGGCTTCAGAATGATTCAGGCGCATGACATTTATTGTGCACTTTATTTCAGTTATTATTACACTGTAATATATAATGAAATAATTTTACAACTCATCATATTGTAGAATCGGGGAGCCCTGAGCTTGTTTTCCTGCAACTAGATGGTCCTATCTGGGGGCGATAGGAGACAGTGACAGATCATCAGGCATTAGATTTTCATAAGGAGTATACAACTTATATTCGTTGCATGGGCAGTTCACAATAGGATTCATGGTCCTGTGAGAATCTAATGCCACTGCTGATCTGACAGGAGGCGGAGCTCAGGCGGTGATGCTCACTGACCCACCACTCACCTCCTGCTGTGTGGCCTGGTTCCTAACAGGTGTGGGACCATGGCCCAGGGGTTGGGGACCCCTAGTCTAGTGTGAAACAGGGAAGCCTGTTAGAAAGGTATGTAGTGATCCATTCCTGGGCACGATGGCAGCCCCAAGGGAGTCCATGAAGCCACGGGGATGGTGAAACTGTATATAGTGCATCACCGGGAAGGTATTATGGTTAACTTAGAAGTCACAGTTTCTAGGATAGTCTTGCTTTTATCATATTCTGTCTGACGTTTGTTCTCATTAGAACATAGGTTTTTATTTCCAGCAGTGTTAAATAAGATTAGGGGTGTGTGTGTGTGGGGAGGGGTGTGTGTGTGTGTGCATGTGTGTGTGTCCGAGAGGGAAGATTCAGAAGTTCTGAAGGCAGGATGATCAATTCGGGAACTTGTTCAGGTCAGAGGATCCAGCTTAGAATGGTGGCAGTAGGCCGGGCATGGTGGCTCATGCCTGTAATTCCAGCACTTTGGGAGGCTGAGGTGGTTGTATCACCTCAGGTCAGGAGTTCAAGACCAGCCTGGCTAACATGGTGAAACCCCGTCTCTACTAAAAATACAGAAATTAGCCAGGTGTGGTGGCAGGCACCTGTAATTCCAGTTTCTTAGGAGGCTGAGGCAGGAGAATAGCTTGAACGGGGAAGGCGGATGTTGCAGTGAGCCAAGATCACACCATTGCACTCCAGGCTGGGTGACATAGTGATACTCCATCTCAAAAAAAAAAAAAAAAAAAAAAAAAAGAATGGTGGCAGTTACAGAGGAAAGAAAAGAACAAACAGGAGAGATACCACACAGGAAGACAGGACTTGGCAACTGATCTGGCATCAGGAGAGAAGTCTTGCTCATCTCCCACCTGTGCCATTACCCAGCTGTGGTAGAGAACCCCAGCCTTGATTTCAACTGTGTTAATTAGACATGGGGAAGATAATGGAGAATTTGTTCCAAAATATTTCATATAGGACTTGGAATTTGAGCTAACTTATGACAGATAAAATCAACTCATTTTCCAAGTGCCAGCTGTCATTGTTCCATATGTAACTTCCAGAGCTAAATTAATGATTAGACATGAACATGAGGAGGTAGAGGGCAAATTTCCAAAGTTTTTACTTGGAAATAAATAGAAATTAGAGCTTTTCAAACAATGTTTTAATCTTTTCCTTCTGAATGAAATTTTGCAATATTTACTATGGTTTTTAAATTGAACTGGATTAGGAGATGGAAATATTTTTAAAAACTACATTTTTCTGAAAATAGAAAAATAACCATAGTACGAGCATTAGAAAATTTACCAAAAATCTTAGTTCAAAAAACCTTTTTCTTTCTTTCATTAGTGAACATTCTAGCTTTCCACACAGAATTTAAAACTTAATTACCTCCTACTAAATAATTCCAGTAATATTGGAAAACCAAATATCTATGCAGTAAGAATAAAAACATTTATTTATTAATAATTTAAAAAATAGAGGCCAGGCGTGGTGGCTCATGCCTGTAATCCCAGCACTTTGGGAGGCTGAGGGGAGCAGATCACCTGAGGTTGGGAGTTCAAGACCAGCCTGACCAACATGGAGAAAGTCCATCTCTACTAAAAATACAAAATTAGCCGGGCATGGTGGCACATGCCTGTAGTCCCAGCTACTCTGGAGGCTGAGGCAGGAGAATTGCTTGAACCCAGGAGGGTGAGGCTGCGATAAGCCAAGATCATGCCATTGCACTCCAGCCTGGGCAACAAGAGTGAAACTGCGTCTCATAAACAAAAGAGAGATGGAGTCTTGCTATGTTGTCCAGGCTGGTCTCTAGCTCCTAGGCTCACGCAATCCACCCACTTTGGATTCCCAAAGTGCTGGGATTACAGATGTGAGCCACCATTCCCAGCTGAGAATAAAAACACTTTTTAAAACTTATTGTTCGGGCTGGGCATGGTGGCTCACACCTGTAATCCCAGCACTTTGGGAGGTTGAGGTAGGTGGAACACTTGAGGTTAGGAGTTCCAGACCAGCTGGCCAACATGGCAAAACCCTGTCTCTACTAAAAACACAAAAATATTAGTTGGGTGTGGTGGCACATGCCTGTAGTCCCAGCTACTCGGGAGGCTGAGGCAGGAGAATTGCTTGAATCCAGGAGGCAGAGGTTGCAGTGAGCCAAGATCACGCCACTTCACTCCAGCCTAAGCGACAGAGCGAGACTTAGTCTCAAAAATAAATAAATAAACAAAGAAATAAAGCCTATTGTCATAGTTTTATGCCAACAATTTTATTGGAATTAACTAAGATAAGGACATGAAGTGACATCCTTAGGGTATCAAACTTAATTTCCTTAGGAAGCAGGATTTGTCTTGCTTTCCCCATTCCAGGTACTTACCTGGTGTCTCTTTTCTTCACTCTATTGGGTAGAGTTGAGTGAGTGTGGCCTGGTCAGAGTTGTGATTTATTTTTTAATTTGTGATTTATTTTTATTTTCTATTTAAACTGAATTAGAGTCAGTTATGAATTTTTTTAATGTTTTTATGTTTAATGTATTTTTAAAAAACACTAAATTACTGTCCTGCCATTAGTCGAGTTTGTAAAAACAGAAACCCTATGGTGTCTGTGTGTTTGTGTGTGTGTGTGTGTGTGTGTGTGTGTGTGTTTGCCGTTGGGGTGAGAGGTGGGGGTGGGGAAGCAAATGAGAGAAACCTTTTAGGGCCAGCCTTTGGAAATAGGAGTCCTTTGTTCCCTTCAGAGACCAAATTTGACCCAGTATAACACTGTTGCTTTAAAAGATCTAGGATTATTTATCGCTATTTTCCAAATATGAAAAACAGCTACTTATAAAATTGTTAATACTGCTCAAAACAGTATTAAAATGTAGGCAAAAGCGAATTAATTAAATTTGAAAAGTTATTCAAATAAGAAAGCAACAGCCAATGGAAGAAAATCACAAAGGTAAACATTATATAATAATAATCTCTCAATTTACGGAATATACTAGCTTCTTTTTGCCAAGTACAGTTATGTGTTGTATAACAACATTTTGGTCAACAATGAACTGCTTATGTGATGGTGGTCCCATAATATTATAATACTATATTTCTACTATAACTTTTCTATGTTTACATGTACTTAGATACACAAATCCTTGCCATTGTGTTACAACTGCCTACGGTATTCAGTACAGTAGCATGCTGTACAGGTTTGTAGCTAGGAGCAATAGGCTAGACCACATAGCCTAGGTGTATAGAAGGCTGTACCATCCAGGCTTGTGTAAGTGTACTCTGTGATGTTTCCACAATGATGAACTTGTGTAAGAATGCATTTCTCAGAACATATTCCTGCCCTTAAGCAACACATGACTGGATTATAATTAATTTGCCCTGCCTATTCTTTATTCATGCTTTCATATTATTTTCCTAGACATCTTCACTGGAAAACAGAAATTGCTATTTTTCTCCACTTGCAAAGATTTATTCCTAAAGCATTGAAATGCTAAAATAACATATTAACCAAACTATTCTTCAGCATGTAGTCATTGATGTGTTAAGGTACACATGAGCTTGAAGACAAATTCACTTTTTAAAAAATCTGTGCCTTTATTACTAGCCTTTAGTCAGTATCTATCAGTCAGAGACTTTTGAATTCTATTTATAGATCCTGGAATTTTCCTTTCTTCTCTCATACCCTTCTGTTTGTTCCATTATAGTTATGAATTTGAGCATGAAAATAAATATATTTATTTGTTGTTGATATAAAAATTTACTTATTCTGTTGTTGATAGAAAAATATATTATTCTGTTGCTGATTAAAAATTTACTTATAAAATTTACAGAAACTATATAAAATTCATTAAAGCTTACAATATGATCTCATATCAATATATTGATCAGTATGTAATAATATTTTTTCTTTATAGGAGTAAATCAAATACAAATTGTGGAGGAGGCAACCATGGTTATAACAATGAGTTTAGGAGCATGGAGGTAACTTACTGCTTTTTTTTAACTTTTATTTTAAGTTCAGGGGTACATGTGCAGAATGAGCAGGTTTGTTACATAGGTAAACATCTGTCATAGGGGTTTGTCATACAGATTATTTCATTACTCAGGTGTTAAGCCTAGTTACTGCTTTTTTAAAACAGATATTTATTGCACACCCATTTTATCATAGGCAATGTCCAAGACTCTTGAATACATCTGTGAAAAAAACAGATTAAGATCCTGCCCTCATGAAGCTTTTATTCTAAGAGGGGGATACAGACAGTAGGAATAATAAAATAATATATTATTTGTTATGTCAGATGATAAATACTGTGGGAAATAAAGAAAAAGTAAAGGAGAGTAAGGGAGAAATTGGGAGTATTTGGGGGTACTCTGGGGGCAGTAAGCAACTTTAAATAGGGTGGAAAGAGTAAGAGTCATTGAGTTGGCATTGAGCAGAGACTTGAAAAAGGTAAAAGAATTTGCCTTTCAAATATTCAGGAGACAAGTGTCCCAGGCAGAAGAAACAGCCACTGAAAAGGGCCAAAATTGGGAGTGTGCCTGAGTCTATGAGTAGAAGGCAGCTGATAATCCCCCATAGGTAAAGCTTTGCAACCTGGTTATCTCATCTACTTCCATTTGTAACACACAAACACACACACACACACACTCCTTTCCATATAGAAAAAAAAAATGTGTTAGGCCTTTTATGAATATGTTTCTTTTTATTATAACATTGCCATGGTGAGTTATATCTTTTTGTAAATATTTGAAAACAATCTCTGGAGAAAGAGCTTTACTATTAATTGGGGTACTATATAATAGTTAAATTAATTATTGCAAGAAAAATCTATGCCTCCAATTCTTTGATGATTATCTTAATATATGTATGTATATACACACAGACCTGTTACCAAAACATAATTGCTTATCTATGTTTGATACTTTTCTTCTAATTGTTTATAGTCTAAAATAATTTTATCTGTTATAAATAATACAATCAAGTTAACATTAATTAATTCAGTGTAAACCAAAATATTTAGGTCTTTTTATCCCAAAAGTAAAAGAGAGAAGTATAAGTGGATCAGGAAGTTAGACTTCATCTAAAAAAAAAAAAGTTAACATTTTTGTATCATGTGTTAACATATTTGATTAATGATATGAAACAGTATGAAAAGATAATATGATGTTATATGATTAAATTTCTACTAAATATTGTGCACATATTGCAGAATTATGCTGATACTGCTTGTGTGCTATTGTTTGTATTCTCCTACTTTATTGGTATATGAGTGCTATGGAGGTAGGTAGAGATAGAAGTAAATATAGCATTGACTATATTTGATTGGGATTGGTACAACATTACAGGTGGCAAAATATGAAAATCATTTTCAAAACTAAAATAAAAATGCCTACAGAGGCCTAATACAAATAGGAGAGTAGTTACAGAAGGAAAATTGTGTCTCTTCCTATATTTGGTTTTGAATTTAGATGACATCTAATAATAATATGACTATTACCACCTAGGCTATCTTTCTGGCACATGGACCCAGTTTTAAAGAGAAGACTGAAGTTGAACCATTTGAAAATATTGAAGTCTATAACCTAATGTGTGGTAAGTATATTTAAATAAGTTTGCCAACAAAATATGGATAGTTTTAAATATATGTAATTTGAAATTGGTAGCAAACTGAATCCCAGAGCCTGGATGCTCTGTAGTGAGAAGGCAGACCGTAAAAAAGATGAGGAAGAATTATTCATTATTCAGACTTATTCAGCTGTAAGAGTGAATTCTTTTTGTTTTACTAGTAATGATAAACTTTATTTTTATTTTTGAGATGCAGTCTTGCTCTGTCACCCAGACTGGAGTGCAATGATGTGATCCCGGCTCACTGCAACCTCCGCCTCCCAGGTTCAAGTTATTCTCCTGTCTCAGCTTCCCAAGTAACTGAGATTACAGGTGTGAACCACCAGGCCCGGCTAGTTTTTTTTGTATTTTTTTGTAGAGATGGTATTTCACCATGTTGGCCAGGCTGGTCTCGAACTCGTGACCTCAAGTGATCTGCCCACCTTGGCCTCCCAAAGTGCTAGGATTTCAGGCATGAGCCACCAAGCCCAGCCAGTAATGATAAACTTTAGATCTCAGAAGACCAACCTTTTCTGTTAGTTAGTTACTAGATGATAATTTAACTTAATAAAACTTAGGTAAATAATACTTCCAACTTTTCAAAGCAAGAGAAACATACCTAAAAACCCAAATATTTTCTTGTAATTACAGAGAGAAGCTCTCTGGCATAAAAACATGGGGAAAAAGTCCTAGCTGAATAGACACTTGTTATCATACTCAATGTTAGAAAAACCTTAAAGCATTAGGATTTTAGGAAGCCTAACCTACCTTCCTACCTGCGTGCTTGCTGCAGGCCATTGTATTAACAAATCATCTATTTACCCAGCAAGGCAATGAGTAAGCTGCAATTTCACTGTTAGCTTTAGAAATTTGGACATAAACATGCTTACAACTGTCTCTCTTCATCTTGTCATTGCTTTGTGATAACTGAATGTGACTTAGAGACCAAAAGGTATTCAGTTTTGTTTTTGTTTTTGTTTTTGTTTTTGAGACGGAGTCTCGCTCTGCCGCGCAGGCTGGAGTGCAGTGGCCGGATCTCAGCTCACTGCAAGCTCCGCCTCCCGGGTTCACGCCATTCTCCTGCCTCAGCCTCTGGAGTAGCTGGGACTACAGGCGCCCGCCACCTTGCCCGGCTATCAGTTTTTAAAATGGTGTGTTGTAGCCTTAAAAACTTACATTCTTGATCCGCACGGCTAGGTTTATGGTCTGGACTCTTGTCCCTTTGCAGAACTGGCTAAAAGGAACGAGATAGGACTGCAGTTCCAGGAGAGATCTGTTAGTGGCAGGCAGTCAGCAGGAATTATTTAAAAGGCTATGTTGGTAAAATATTTATGTTTCATAGAAACACACAAACATGCGAACTATATGTTTCTATGAAACATACAGTTGTATTTTGTATTATGTATTTTCATAGAAAAAATGAAAAAATCTCTCTGAATATTAAGCAAAATTCACTAGTTCCATTTTTTAAAAGTGTCTATCTTTAGAGAACTTTAATATAATTAAGTAAATGTACTATAAAGAAGATTATAAATTATTTAATTTATTTAAACTTGTTTTTATTAAGAATATAGCTTTTTATGCTAGAAAATCATGATATGCTTATGAAACAAAGTGGCGATTTAAGGAAGCTTTTCTTTGGAGAAACAGAAGCCGTTCATGAAAGTTCCTCTGGTTCATCTGCAGCAACTGTTCCTATTCCTCATTTATTTCAAGAGATGGGGTTTCAGTGTCTCCTAAGCTGGCCTCAAACTCTCAGGCTCAAGCAAGCCTCTTGCCTCAGCCTCTTGAGTAGCCGGGACTACAGGTGCACTGCTGAACTGGCTAGTTCTATTCTTTAGCAAGATTAGTGTTTGAAACCATGGAGAAGAAAGTCAGTAAACTGAATGGCATATGGAGTACATAGCTTTGTTACAGCAGAATTTATTAAAGGGAGTGAAAGAGTAGGTGTTTGTTTCTTTCCATCTCCCACAAAGGAGTTGTTGCTTTCCAGTATAAAGCAACTTTAAACTTGTTTTTTCAAAAAACAGATCTTCTACGCATTCAGCCAGCACCAAACAACGGAACCCGTGGTAGTTTAAACCATCTTCTGAAGGTGCCTTTTTATGAGCCATCCTATGCAGAGGAGGTGTCAAGGTTTTCTGTTTGTGGCTTTGCTAATCCATTGCCCACAGATAATCTTAGCTGTTTATGCCCTCATCTACAAAATGTAAGTAACAACTTCATGCATCCATAAGAATGTAAAGGGGCAAGCTATTCTTAACCTGGGTAGCCAACAACTGGGGTAGCAACAACCAGGTTTGTGTTCCTCCTTGGATATTTACTTAGTAAATATATGTGGTGTCTCTGAACCTTATCTGGAAGCAAGAAGTGAGAATGCATACATTATAAGATTAAGTATGGAAATATGCTTTGTAAACTGGAAAGCACTCTTTGGTAATTGTTAATGTCATTATAAACTAACTGTCCTTCACCATTCAATACAGTAATCTTCGAGCTCTCTCCAATTATCCTTATAAACCATTCTTCCTGTGTTTTATGAATCAGATGTTCATGCCTGGTTATTCAGAGCAGAAAGAACTGGGAGGGTGTAGGGATTGTAGCCTGCTGTTTGACACACCCACTAGGGTAGGTGCTGCAGGGTATTCCTTTGGGTAGCAGGGAAGAATCTGGCTGACAGTTGACACTGGGAAGGTCTTTTTAGTAGATCAGGCCCTCAGATGAGTTCAGGAGCAGGACTTCAGATTCCAGGAGACGCCACAGGGTGAGGTTTTAGTGCTAGGAGAGGCCCCAAGTGCAAAGAGTCATAACAGCAGCTTAAAATATAAGGACCAAGTCTACTTATGAGAATCAGAGCACCTGGATGGGGTTGGGATTTCAGAGTGAAATTGGAGCCCAGTTATCAGGAGTCCATCAAGCTAAAATTAATGTCCAGGGTCATTTGATGCCAAGTTCCAAATGTGTGTGTAGAACTAAATAAAAACACCTGCTGCCTCAGGTAAGAATTTTTCCTTATAGTCAGAAGTAGGTGAAGACATCACAATCTCTATTCTTCAAAATAGCATTATACTACAGAAATAAATAACCAACCAAAGGGGCTTTACGGGACAAAAGTCTAGCAAACTTCTCAATGAAGATCAAATCCACAGCAAAGATCAGAGTAAGGGTGTGGGTTTCCTACCGACTGTTCCTGACAACCTCGATCAAACTGCCATTAAAAAATAATAATATTACTTAGTGGGTATGTTGTTTCTCATTTTAGAGATAAAGCATGCTCAGAGAAGTTAGATAAATTGTCTGAGGCCAGAGAAGCTTGTTCTATCTGACTGCAAACCCCAAGTTCTATGTGAAGAATGCCTCTTGCTATTCAGTGTGTGGTCCCAGGACCAGCATCTGTATCACTTGCAAATTGGTTAAAGATGCAGAATCTCAAGCCCTGCCCTAGGTTTACTGAACCAGAATCCATATTTTAACAAAACCCTCAAGTGATTGTACACTTAAGGAGCACTGGGATGTTGTCACCCAACTTAGTCATTGATTCCAGCAGTGATCAGAATGCTTTGCCCCATTATCAATTATCTTTTTGTGAATTCTCTCTCTCTCTCTCTCTCTCTCACACACACACACACACACACACACACACAATGCAGGGAGCAGTAGTGTCTCTATATTTCTGAATAGTGGTAGAATCAGAATCTTAAGTTAGTCTAGCTTCTTTGGCAGTATAACACTAAATTGATTACTACAGAAATAATCTTGATTACCCTTTAAAACATGTACTGTTACTTTGACTTATTTCCTCCCCTTTCCCGTCCCTCATTATCTTGCAGAGTATTCAGCTGGAACAAGTGAATCAAATGCTAAATCTCACCCAAGAAGAAAGTAAGTCAATAGAAAACATGTTAAGTCTTTGATATTTAGACCTAACAAAACACAACATGGCCCTTTTAGGACTCTCCAAAATAAGCTGATAGAGGTTCCTGAACATAAAGATTTTATTGCCAATATACAAAAGGTAAACAAAACAAAAGAAAACAAAACTCACAACAGATACAATGACAACAGTACAAGCATGGGGTAGTTCCAGTGGTTCCAGGAACAAAACGAATTCCTTGAAGCGGTTGTGACTCATCTGCAGTCCTCTTATTTCCTTTCCTTAGATGTAAGCAGACTGAGCTGCCTGGGTTTGAGTCCTACCTCTGTGCTTTCTGGCTGTTCGATATGGGGCAAATCACTTAGCCCCCCTGTGCCTCAGTCTTCTCATCTGTAATAACTGTACTCACCTCATGTAGTTGTAAAAATTTAAAAAGTTAATACATGGAAAGAGTTTACAATTGTGCCTGGCCTGTAGCAATATTATTATTACCTGTTATCTTTTAAGTATTCTTGTACTAAACTCATTCTGTTTCAGTTTCATTGCTTATAAAATGGGGATACCTACTTTTTAGAGTTGCTATGAAGATTACATGAATTAATATATTTTCCATGGTCTACAGTTAAGAGCTCAGTAAATGTACTAGTTGTTTTGATAATCTTATAATCTGCCAAGTATTATTCCATGGCATGAATAGCCTGCAGGTTTTTTATCCATCACTGATGGATTTTTAAGAAGCATACAAGTAAAAGTAAATAAATACAATAGAATGTTGTTTTAGTCCATTCCAGTTGCTATTAGGTTGGTGCAAAAGTAACTGTGTTTTTTTCTATTAAAAGTAATGGCAAAACCCAACAGGGCATGGTGGCTCATGCCTGTAATCCTAGCACTTTGGGAGGCTGAGGCAGACAGATCACTTGAGGTGAGGAGTTCGAGACCAGCCTGGCCAACATGGTGAAACCCCATCACTACTAAAAATACACACACACACACACACAGAATTAGCTGGGCATAATGGTGCACCTTTGTAAGCCCAGTTACTCTGGAGGAGGCTGAGATAGGAGAATCACTTGAACCCAGGAGATGGAGGTTGCAGTGAGCCGAGATCATGCCACTGCACTCCAGCTTGGGTGACAGAGCGAGACTTGGCCTCAAAAGTAATGGCAAAAACCGCAATTACTTTTGCTCCATCCTAATATAACAAGATACAATAGACTGGGTAGCTTATAAACAACAGAAATTTACTTCTCATAGTTCTGGAGGGTGGAAAGCCCAAGATCAAGTTGTCAGCAGATTTGGTTTCTGATGACGGCCTGATTCTTCATAAAGGGCCGCCTTCTCACTCTGAGCTCATATAGTGGAAGGAGTGAAGGTGTCCCTAGGGTCTCTTTGATGAAAGCTCTAATCCTGCTTATGGGGGTCTTACCTCATGACTTAATCACCTCTTAAAGGTCCCACCTCCTAATACCATCACCTTTGGGATTAGGATTTCAACGTAAACGTTTTAGAAAGACATAAACATTCTGATTACAAGACATAAGTTTATAAAATTCCAACATCTTCCCTATGACAATTACTAAAGTGGGTCGTCTTTGTTACAAAGTATGTACTTTTGACTTTGAAGGTTTTACCTCTTCATGTACATCCTCTGAGCTGTAAAATATAAGGAATCACAGAGGGCAGGCTTCAGATCCTTGCTTAGGCTCTTGCTTGGCCAACTTACTTATCTAAACCTTAGTTTTATAATCTGTAAAATTAAGTAGTAACACCACTATTATTATTATTAATAATAATTACACATAGGATTGTTGTAAGAATTGAAAGAGGTTAAATATGTGAAATATTTGTTAGAGTACTTGTCATATAATAAGCCGTAAGAGTGTGGTAGTTATTATATGGGTAGTTATTACATGCAAAGAAGCATTTGCTAATTTCATGAATCTTTTTATTTTATGTTATTTTAATTTTAGTAACAGCAACAGTGAAAGTAAATTTGCCATTTGGGAGGCCTAGGGTACTGCAGAAGAATGCGGACCACTGTCTCCTTTACCACAGGGAATATGTCAGTGGATTTGGAAAAGCTATGAGGATGCCCATGTGGAGTTCATACACAGTCCCCCAGTTGGTAAGTTCCTGAGTCCACTGATCCATGCAGGCAAGAAATATTTATAATCCTTTCATATTCTAAGAGCTGAATTTTGTTTTGCAGTAGAGATTCAAAGGGAGGGAACTCATTGGCCTATAGCTTGTAAGACAATGTGCAAGTATTACATAAAGGTTTTTATAGGTGCTACATGGGTGCAAAAGAGGAACACATGGTGTTTTGCCTGGAGAAAATGGAAAATGTTTACAGGCCAATTGGCCAATTGGTAAGGAAGGTAGAAAAGGACATTTTAAACAGAAGCAACAGAAGTACGGAGGAATACTATTCATTTAACATTCCCCATGTACATCATGGGTGCACATAGAAGGTGATGATAACTAGATTATAAAGGGCTTTGTATTCATTTGATTATTTAACAAGTGCATTACTATTTGCTGTGTGTTATAGTAGGCACAAAGTGAATAAGGCATTGTTCTTCTCTGAAGGATCTGGAACTCTAGTAAGTCAGACTAGACTTACATGGACAAATGCATTATGTCAGAGATCTCCAGGCTGAGGTTGAGGTCCACTTGTTTAAAGCCCCCTCCCTCTTCACTGTCTGGCAAACTCTCTTGCACTAAGTAGTAACAGGACAGTTGACTACCCTTCAAGAAGAAAATAGTAGATCCCTACCTCACACCACACACAAAATTAAATTGCTGGTGAATTTGTAGACCTAAATAGGAACAGCAAGTCTGTGTTCCCTTTGTGCATATCTTTATGATCTTGGGATAGAGAAGGCTTTCTCAGGAGACAAGAAGAACAACATTAAAAATGCAGAGGGAATTGATTAATTACACTACATAAACATTAATGTATGACAAAATAACAAAGTTGTAGATGGACCAATATATTTGCATTGCACATAAGAAACAAGTTATGAGTATCCAGAATAGTAATTTGATTCAGAATAGCTAATAAATTTCCACCAATCAACAACAGAATGACAAGCATCTTAGTTACTACGTGAGCAAAGGATAAGAACCAAGCAATTGAATCTCAATGGCAATAAGGAAAATGTAAATTAAAACAAAACTTAGGGCCAGGCACAGTAGCTTATGCCTGTAATCCTAGCACTTTGGGAGGCTGAGGCAGGCAGATCACCTGAGGTCAGGAGTTTGAGACTAGCCTGACCAACGTGGTGAAACCCCATCTCTACTAAAAACACACAATTAGGCAGGTGGGGTGGCATATGCCTGTAATCCCAGCTACTTGGGAGGCTGAGGCAGGAGAATTGCTTGAACCCGGGAGGTGGAGGTTGCAGTGAGCTGAGATCGTGCCATTACACTCCATCCTGGGCAACAAGTGAAACTGCATCTCAAAAAAAAAAAAAAAAAAAAAAAAAAAGCAACAAAACTTAAAGTATGCCAAAAGTCAGTCCAAACACTCCTCTGGGGCAGGGATGATTTTATTTAATGTATCCTCAGCACAACAGAATTGCCCAGTATGTGCTTATTGAATGAAATGCATTGAATGAATTAACCACAACCATTATTTTTAGACTTTTAATGGCAAAGCTGTACCACCAACCACACGGGTAAATAATCAGGGAGCTGTTTTTGTAGAGAAAATCTTAGTATTTTAGATCCAGAGACTGATGACAAACTTATAACTATTACTGTTTTTGCTAAGAGTACCACCTCTTTTATGGAAAGGAAATATTGATTCCATAGGTTTACCTACTCTTCCTGTTCCAATTCAAAATTGTTGGAGAAAAATAAGCGTATTTTCCGACTGCTAATTAAAACTTTGTATATTCTGAAAGCCAGTTCTGTTGCTGTCAATGGTTCAGTTGTGGTCACTAGTAACAGTACTAATGTTTGTTTGCCAGTGTGGGAAAATATTTTACCAACAGTTACCTGAGTTCATATGTACGTTGGTGGCAACATTACTTTCTTAATGTGCACAATGTTCAATTCGTGATTTTCTTCAACACACAACATTCCTTAAAATAACTTCTATTTTGTTACTGTTTTCGAGAGGAGTGGCACACTCAGGGTCAGTCCTATTATTTAATTTTCTATTTTGAAAATTCCAAGTATGAGGGATTGTGTGGCATTAAAGGGAATGTTTATGTTTTTTATACTTTTCCCTGCCGTCTTGCATTCTTGAATTTTTATTAGCTTTGGCGGAAACCAAAGGTGGAGAGATTCTAAGTGGGCTCAGGCTAGGAGTTTAGTACAATTCTTCTTTGTTATTGTTTTAAAACTAGCTTCTTTGTTACCAAAAGTTCCTGTCCTTTCACTGATCCCACAGAAGTACTTGTGTATTTCTCCCTCCATGTGACAGGATGGAATTCTAGCAATTTTCTGCTTTCTAATTCAGAAATTACTCTGTTAGTGTGTTGTGGTTCAAGAAAATTACATACAAGGATGTTTTGGGATTCACATAAAAATGTTGTAAATCAGCTCTGTGTTTCAAAAAATCAGACTTTAAATAAGCACTTTTCAGAACATGGACCCAATTGGCTTGAGCCTTTAAGATTTGTGGAGCTTTTGTTTTTCTGTGGTTTTGGTGGGTTTTGTAATTTTTGTTGTTATCTCAGAAGAGTTCTGGGGAAGTAGTTGTGATTTGAAATCATGGTCCTAGAACAGCTGATTCAAAACCATTAAGGTTAGTCAGGATGTACATAGATTTTGCTTCTGGGCCTGTTCAGAAGGAAGATATGAACTAGTGTTTCTGTTGCTAGGTGAAAAACTGAAAATAAGAGCAAGAATTGTGATTATTGTTTAAAATAGGTATTTCAGAATTTAATATGAAATCAAATTTTTCAGAGTAGAAATCTAGTGTACTTTGAAAAATGCCTCTCTCTCCCCCATGTATCTATGTATCTCTCTCTCTCTATATTTACCTACCTATAGTTATATGTCTATCTGTCAATCTACACACATAACTCCCATATCTTTCCATGTTAAAAAGCCTTTTTTTCTTGTTTCTAAAGATTATTTTGTGAGTCTTTAAAACAGGGGCATTATTGTGTGTTGCAAACATTTTTGAACTATGAAAAAATTATTTTTCCCTGTAGAAAATAAATCATACAACCAAGTAATTTAAAACATACATAGTCATTATCCTTACTGTAAGGCAAAATTGTGACTATTTAATCTTCAAATAAGTAGGTTTTAGCTTGTACATTCAGCCTACAGGTAAGAAGCATCTGTAACTTCAATAGAAATAATTTTATACTCTATTCAAGTTCTACTTTGTTTCAATGCCAGACTAAAAGTACAAGCAGCTCACGTTCCTGTCTATACTCATCCTTTACTTCTCCAGAAATATTTTGAGAGCTAAGAAGTTAATATTTTATCTGAGTGTCTGAATTCTATTTATTGCTTTCCTGACTTTCTATCCTGTTGCTTCAAAAATTCCAGGGAACTCTGACAGGATGGCAGGATTGAAGTTGTTTATGTGTGTGGGGTGGTGGTGGTGGTGGTTCACTAAAGCCTTCTTTATTATAGAAAGGACCTTCCTGTACCTCCCCTCCATCCTTCTAGAGGGCTGCCTGTTGCAAAATCTTGCCTGGATAAAGGAGGCCACATCCTCATTCCTAGTATTGATGCACTTTTATTTGAGGGTTCAAGTTTGGTATGTAAGAAATAAATCTCAAGATTTTCGGTTAGCAGAAAATGTTACTTTTTTTTTTTAGTACTTTCTGGCTGAAGCTATCCCAGTTCATTTCCCCCAGCCCAAAGTCTAAGCTACTTTGAGAACATGGTAAATATTTTGACCAACTAAGTTGTTTCAGCACAACTTTTACAGCCACAGCCTCATTAAAAATTACAATAGACTTTCTTTGTTAACATTTTTATAATTTTAACTGTTAAATTTAAGCATCTCAATTTCCTTACATTATGGAAAATCCATATAGGGCTACATTTATATACTGTATATTTCTTCAAATAAAACTTACTAATGTGAAATGTTTGAGTACAACGATAAAGATGTCTGTTAGGAAATATCAAACTTGCAATATACCAGGGGTCTATGGGACCAACTTGGTCAGCAGTCACTATTCCTTATTCTCCAATTTTACAACATACTTATGTGGCCCTTATACCAAGTGGAGAAACCTGGTCACTTAGAACTGTATACTATGATATGTTTTTGAAAGAATATCAACAAATGCTTTTAGCTTTCCAGCTCTGCCACCTGAAGGAGAGTGAAATAAATGGTGAGAACTCATCCAACTCATTTAGCACAAACGTCTTCGTTTTTCTTGGTGTACTTCTTGTTTTGGTGGACTATATCACTCAGGAGCTTCCTGAGAAAGAAAAAGGGGAAGAGATATTCTTGAGAGTTTGTGTGTCTCAACATGTTTTTACTCTGCCTATATACTTAATTAGTGTTTTAGCTGGTTTCAGAATTTTAGAAATAATTTTTCTTCAGAATTAGTAAGACAGGCCAAGTGCAGTGGCCCACACCTGTAATCCCAGCACTTTGGGACTCTGAGGCAGACGGATCACCTGAGGTCAGGAGTTTGAGACCAGCCTGGTCAACATGGCAAAACCCTGTTTCTACTAAAAATACAAAAATCAGACAGGCATGGTGGCGCGTGCCTGTAATCCCAGCTACTTGGGAAGCTAAGGCAGGAGAATCAGTTGAACCCAGGAGGCAGAGGTAGCAGTGAGCCAAGATTGTGCCATTGCACTTCAGCCTGGGCTACAGAGTGAGACTCTATCTCAAAAAAAAAAAAAAAAAATAGACTTCCTGGGCTGATTCTCTAATGTGTTTGAATTTTTCCTATTTTTCCCATCTCTTTGTCTTTAATTCCACCTTTTGAGTCACATCTGCAACTTCATCCTCTAGATCTTATTGAGTGTTTTCTTTTGCCTGTCGTATTTTGAAATCCCAAGAGCTCTTTCTGTTACCTTTTCCCTTTTTAAAAATTGCCTCTGTTCCTTCTTTATGGATGCCATATATACTCTCAGCTCTCTGAGAAAAGAGTTTTCTTCTGGCTTCCACATTGTCTCTTTTTCTTCTCCCTTATTCCCCAGTGTCTAGTGGTCCTTGGCTGTCATCTTCTATTTTAAGAATTAGGCACTAAACTTTATGGCTGGGTCTTTCCAGTCTATAAGCTTCACTATAGATTGATCAGGAAGAGAACCAGCCATTTTGTTGAGGACTCCAAATTGACAGTATCTAGTTTCCTTTCAGGCTGGTTGTTTTCCAAAGAGAGGATACTTCTAATCTGACTCAGCATATACAGTTTTCAGGCTAAATGGGCAATGAGATTGGGGAATCTTATTATTCAGCATATAGTTTTATTTAATCTCATTGTTTTCGGTATGGTGCACCTGCTCTTGGCTGTGCCTTGTGTCTTTTAGTCTGATCATCCCTCTGGTTTAAACTCTCCAGAGAGTAAACATACTGTCTAGCCCTTTTTGCAGACTTTCAATCTATCCTCTATTTCCAGCCTTATGCAAACTCCTGTCTTTAGGACTCCAAGTTCTACCCTTCTGGGGTTCTTCAGTAGGACGTTCTTGGTGCTTTCCCCAAACATAAGCTCTTGGTAGTCAGTGTTTACTGGTCTACTAAATTAGATTATTATTTATCTGATTTCCAGCTTCTGAATATTCCCTGTCATCTCTTACGTGTTTTCATTATTACTGTCCTCCTTAATGGAATTTTAGAAGGGAGCAAGGTAAGTGTATGTGTTCAATCAAGTTGCGAAGTTTTCTCAACTTCTGTATCTTTTCTAGCTAGAGCTTTGTATTATGTTAGGGAGTACAGTCTCTGCCTTGCTTTTTCTGGACTTTTCTCATCTTCAGCTCCCACCTGTTCTATACCTCAGCATGGTGCTCTCCTGGCTACAAAGACAGCACACAGTGTATGTTGCCTCTTCCTTTGTGAATTGAACTCAGAGGTTTTAGACAACGTAGCTAATTTTGCTTTCAGCACAATGCAGTGAATAAAGGAAGGTCATCCTAATTTAACTTAACCTTCATTTTTTTTTTATAAATTATTTCAAGTTTTATTAAGAAAGATAACCATTATAGGTAGTAGAGAGCATACAAATCAAAATGTCTGAGAAAAATAAACAAATAGTAAAATGTTCACTTACCCATGATTATATGCTAATCAAAATATGATGACCACATAATATAGTATTACCTTAAATACTTAAGTTAGGCAGCACATTTATAGGATGTCCCCTTGGTAAATAAATTATTGTACTAGTCTTTAAATAGGGTAACAAAGAAATTATTACTATTTTTTAAGACAGAGTCTCGCTCCGTTGCCTGGGCTGGAGGCAGTGGCACGATCTCAGCTGACTGCAACCTCCACCTCCCAGGTTGAAGCAATTATCATGCCTCAGCCTCCCCAGTAGCTAGGATTACAGGCACCCAACACCACACCTGGCTGAGTTTTGTATATTTAGTAGAGACGGGGTTCCACTACGTTGAACCTCAAACTCTTGACCCCAAGTGATCCGCCCACCTCAACCTCCTAAAGTACTGGGATTACTGGCGTGAGCCACCAAGCCTGGCCTAAGACATTATTATTATTATTATTATTATTATTATTATTATTATTTTCAGATGGAGTCTCGCTTTGTCACCCAGGCTAGAGTGCGATGGCGCAGTCTCACCTCACCTCCACCTGCTGGGTTCAAGCGATTCTCCTGACTCAGTCTCCAGAGTAGCTGGGATTATAGGTGCCCGCCACCATACCTGGCTAATTGTTGTATTTTTAGTAGAGATGGATTTTCACCATGTTGGCTAGGCTGGTCTTGAACTGCTGACCTCGTGATCCGCCTGCCTTGGTCTCTCAAAGTGCTGGGATTACAGGCATGAGCCACTGCGCCCGGCCGGGCCTAAGAAATTATTTTTAAAATTCTTATATTTCATGAGGAATGAAGCATGGCTGTAAGTTTATTTATATTCAAAACTAATTTGTTTAGACAACTATACCTTCTTTGAATTAATCTTAGGTTGATAAAAAGTTCTTGAACAGCTGAAGAATAATATATTAATACTTAGTTTATATCTGTATTTTAAAAGTAAATACATTTTATTTTCAATTTTTATTTACAAGTACAATATATATCACCACAGAAAAGTTAGATCTTGAAAAGGATTTTAGTTTTTAGGAATAGTTCCCATTATTCCTCTCCTCTCAATTCGGGTTTCAGTGCAAATATTTTTTTCCAAGGTGTATTTGATTTGCCCTCCTGATGTCCTTAACCAGAAGGGAACCACAGAAGAAAACACTGCTGAAGACATCCATTCCCATTGCTTGCCTAGACCTGATTCACTAAGAAAATAGGAAAAGCTTAAATGAAAAACATTCTAGGGAAGTGACAAACCATATAAGGCAATGGGTGAGCCGCGATTGTGGGCGTAATTTTTTTCTCTCTCTCTTTCAACAGGGAGACACATCGCCTCTTCCTCCCACTGTCCCAGACTGTCTGCGGGCTGATGTCAGGGTTCCTCCTTCTGAGAGCCAAAAATGTTCCTTCTATTTAGCAGACGAGAATATCACCCACGGCTTCCTCTATCCTCCTGGTTAGTAGAACTCTTTTTTAGAGCAGTCGCTTAGAAAGCTCTCATCAGCTGGATGTGGGCATATGCCTTAAACATATACTCCCCACCAAAACTACCTGCTTGGGCTAAGCTAGCTGCCTGAGACACTTCCAGTGGTTGTGGCTGGCCAGAGCAGCACAGCAGCTGTAATAAAGACTAAGACATTTTGCAGTGGGACCCACACAGCAGCTCTCATCTGGCCCAGATGTTTAAAGAGCTCGGCAGGTTTAAGTTTAATTTTAAAACTGAAGATTCTTTGCAGAAGGACACAAACATCTAAAAACCCATTTCTTCTGGTTCCTGCCCAAGCTAAGGTCTGCCTGGAGAATACAGCTGTGCCGTTGAAAAGAAATCAGGCTGGGTGTTCGCTTTGGCAGAACATATACTAAAATTGGAATGATACAGAGAAGATCACCTAATAAAATAAAATAAAATAAAATAAAATAAAATAAGAAATCAGGCTGGAATTTTGGCCTGTTGCTCATGCTGTAGGGCTAACAGTTTTAAACTGCAGGTGAAGCAGCCAAATGAAATTTAAGTTTTTGTTGTTGTTGTTTTCAGAAAGGATCTCTTTTGGGAACCTGCCAGAGCTAGTGTGATTTCCCTAAAACTCAAGCCACTTCCCTGTGCAACAGGAAATGTCATTTTTATTAACTTGCCTATGAGATTTTCAACAATTTCACCTTCTTAGAGATTTGTAATTTAAAGATCCTGAAATTTATAATGGGCAAAAAGGCTTAATGAAAGCAAGTAGTGTTATCAATTTAAAATTCCTAACAGAGTTAGGATAAAAAAACTGATATGTTTTATGTATCTAGGTACAATCAGGGGTACCAAATTTATGTAAGCCCTGTGATAAACATTAAAAATTTGCAACAGGCCAGGTGCGGTGGCTCACACCTGTAATCCCAGCACTTTGGGAGGCCAAAGTGAGTGGATCACCTTAGATCAGGAGTTCGAGACCAACCTGGCCAACATAAGTGAAACCCTGTCCCATCTCTACTAAAAATAGAAAAATTAGCTGGGTTTGCTGGTATGTACCTGTAGTACCAGCTATTCAGGAGGCTGAGGCATGAGAATGGCTTGAACCTGGTAGGTGGAGGCTGCAGTGGGCCGAGATTGAGCCACTGACTCCAGCCTGGGTGACAGAGTGAGATTCTGTCTCAAAAAAAAAAAAAAAAAAAAAAGTTGCAACATTTTATTAATAAAATATTTGAAATTGGTGTATAAAATTGTGTCTGTTAGGCCATAAGATATTAGTTAATACATAAATGTTTGCCTGACAAGGAATAAAATTAATAATTAAACAACTTGTCTCAAAAAATTAAGGTTACGGCCAGACATGGTGACTCATGCTCGTAATCTCAGCACTTTGGAAGGTCGAGGCAGGAGGATCACTGGCTCAGGAGTTTGAGACCAGCCTGGGCAACATAGTAAGACCTTGTCAGTTAAAAAAGAAATAGTAATAGTAAGGATAAAATGAAACTGTCTTCTAACTCTCCAGTATAAATTCCAATTATTTTTTAAAAATAGAAGTTCTATTACTAGCAGGTTCTTATTTTCCTCTAAAACAGAGGTAATGTTATGTTGATTGCCTTTCCAACTTTCAGGGCTTAGTTAAAAAGTTAGAAAAGGCTTTTTGTGGAGTCGGAGTACTTTAAACACCATGTGAAATCTTAAGAAAAAAGAGCTACTTGTTTCTTTGTGTCTTTTGGTGTCTACTTATTGGCCTCTCATTGAAGAATTAGTTACCCAGGCAGGATGGTGCATGCCTGTAATCCCACCTACTCGGGAGGCTGAGGCAGGAGGATCACTTGAGTGCAGGAACTCAAGATCAGCCTGGGTGAAATGGCAAGACTCTGCCTCAATAGTAATTAAAAAAAAAAGAATTAGTTAAGATATCCAAGTATAGTTTAAGTATAAAAAGTATTATAATAAAGACTTAATATAAGTGGAATTGTGCACTATTTGTGTTTCTGTGACTGCCTTATTTCACTTAATGTCCTCAAGTTTCATTCATGTTCTTATATATTACAGAATCTAAAATAGTCAAATTCATAGAATCAGAGAGTGAAATGGTGGTTGCCAGGGGCTGGGGGAGGGAGAAATGGGGAGTTCCTAATTAATGGGCATAAAGTTTCAGTTAAGCAAGATAAATAAGCTCTGGGGATCTTCTGTACAGTATTGTATCTAGAGTCAACAGTACTTAAAAAATTGTTAACAGAGTAGACCTCATGTTAAGTATTCTTACCAAAATGAAATTAAATGAAAAAGGATTTGAATAAACATTTATAGGTTTGCAGCTTTTAATCCTCACAATAATTCTATGAGACAGATGCCATGAGACTAAGTACAGAGGGATGCAGCACTTTGCCCGAGGGGTGCAGTTGTGAGCAGCAGAGCTGGGGTTCCCACCTGGGCTGTCTGCTTCCAGAGCACACTTGCTGAACACTCACTGTGCTGGACAGCACAGCCATAAATCCTGAGAGCCCATGATTTGTGGCGTTCCCTTCAGCAGTCTCTGTATTAGTCAGTTCTCATACTAATAAAGGCATACCCGAGACTGGATAATTTATAAAGAAAAGCGGTTTAATGGACTCACAGTTCCACATGGCTGGTGATGCCTCACAATCATTAGGGAAGACGAAGGAAGAGCTAAGAGACATCTTACATGGCGACAGGCAAGAAACTGTGTGTGCAGGGGAACTCCTCTTTATAAAACCATCAGATCTCGTGAGACTTATTCACTATCACGAGAACAGCATGGGAAAGACCCGCCCTCTTGATTCTATTACCTCGCACCAGGTCCCTCCCACAACACGTGGGAATTACAGGAGCTACAATTTAAGATGAGACTGAGAGGGACACAGCCAAACCATATCAGTCTCTATCAAGCAAAAACTCATTTTCTTCAGAAAATTTTATTTTGGAAGACAGCTATCTATAATAACATTATTATTTTGTGCACATCCAATAACTACGCATATATATCTGGCATTCTGTTTGTTTCCTAGGACTGCTGGCACAAATTACCAAAAAAGATTGAGTTAAAACAAAAATGTATTATCTCACAGTTCTGGAGATCAGAAGGCTAAAGTCAAGGTGTTGATAGCCATGCTCTTTTGGAAGGCTCTAGGGGAAAATCCTTCCTTGTCTCTCCCAGCTTCTGGTAGCTCCAGGCATTCCTTGGCATGTACTGATATCACTCAAACCTCTGCCTCCATCTTAACAAGACTTTCTCCCCTGTGTTTCTCCTCTTCCCAAATCTCCTTCTCCTTATTAAGACACTAGTCACTGGATTTGCAGTCCACCCCTAAATCCAGGATAGTCTCATCTAGAGACTCCTAGCTACATCCGCAAAGACCTATTTCCAAATAAGTTTATATTCACAGGGATGAAAGGAATGGTTAGGACTTGGATGAAGCTTTTTTGGATCACACTTCAACCCACCACAGACATAAAACTGCCTGCATTATTAATGACTTCTGTTAGAAAGTACTATTTCTGTGCTTTGACTGTTAATAAATTTATATTAATATGTAATAGTAATAGGCCTATTGTGCAATATGTCATATTTTCTCTTATAGCTAGATCTAATAAGATCCATTTGTTTTGCAGCCATCAATAGAACTTCTGATAGCCAATATGATGCTTTAATTACGAGCAATTTTGTACCTATGTATGAAGAATTCAGAAGTATGTATGTATTTAGAGTATTAATTTTAAAATAGTTAAGTGACTCCCTGAACTTCCAAACTAAACACATTTTTTAAATTGCAATTTGTTCCTGATATTAAGGTCATTTTGTTCTAATGGTTTAAATATAGGTACAGGAAGGATCCCTCACATAGATTCTTTTCAACTTTGACTTTGAGTGACTTGTTGCTAGAATTCTGATAATTTGTTTTTAACCCTTAATTTGATTACTGCCATTCACTAAAAGTAAATGAAAGGTAAATGTTCATCCCCAGAGTAATAATTAATCAGGCAACATATGTGTTCTGATTATTTTTAACACTCGCTGTCCCATAAGCAACTCAGCCCTAGGGAGAAATTTGGAGGCATATTTAACTGTAATTTCAAGACTATAACTACAACAACAAAAAGCTGTCATCAATGTAGCTGTTTATTTTTGCTTGTGAAGCCTGTTCTGGAGAATTACCCAATCACCACTGACAATGATTAAAGCAGGATTTCATGCTATTTAAATGTACTTGTCTATAATAGAAAATATTGTCAAGTTCGACTGAAATAGACATTTTAAACACTTTATTTATTTATTTTTTTTAGAAATGTGGGACTACTTCCACAGTGTTCTTCTTATAAAACACGCCACAGAAAGAAATGGAGTAAATGTGGTTAGTGGACCAATATTTGATTATAATTATGATGGCCATTTTGATGCTCCAGATGAAATTACCAAGTAAGTGTTTGACTTTTTGATTTATCAGTAGGTCTCATGAGGGGAAATTCCAGTATTTTAAGTAAAGTTTAATACTTTAAATATTACATAATACATTCATAGACAAATGTTATTGTTGACTATTTTCAATCTAGTCTATCTAAATATTTAGGAAAAAAACTTATATTGCAAAAAATTTAAATTAAGGGGCAAAGAAAACACTTCCTGGAAAAGTTTAGCAAAAATTTCATTTGGAAAATTGCTAAATTAATGGGCAAAGATAACATGAAATTTTGTAAAGGCTAAGGAGGTAGAGAAAACTTGATGTACTATCAGTGAATATAAAACCAATCCAACAATAAATGAAAAAAAAAGTCAAGTAAAGACTAAGGTAACTTTTACAAGAATAGTGAAAAGTCATGTAAAGACTAAGGTAAATTTTACAAGAATAGTGAACAATTCATAAAAGCATTTCCCAGGAGACAATGTAGGTAAATTTCATGATGCAGAGAACTAGTCCTAACTAAACTTTACATTTTAGTACTAAGCCTGGTCATAACAGGTTGCTAAGAATTAGTTTTGAATGCAGAGCACAGTAATAGAGTTTTAGAGAAGTTTCATCTACCATTTCTCTTTATTATCAAAACATATGAAGGACCAAACTAAACAACTATACTAAGCCTAGATTATGTAAAGTAATGATTTCTACCTATACCTTCTGATAAAGTAACATTTGTGACTACTAAGTGTGTGGCCTTTTTCTATTTTTTTCACCATGTCTTTATTTCAGTGTTGAATGAATACTGAATCAATATTTCAGTATTGGCTCTATCTTTCACAATTCCTTAATTCTAATAATTCTAACTTTGACAGCATTTTACTATATGCTAGGTACTTTTTAAAGAACTCACATATACATCAGTTTAACTGATATACACCAGTTAAACCGCAAAGATACCCTAGTTAGGTTCCATTAGCCCCCGGTTAGAGTTAAAGAAACTGAGGTTAAACAACTTATCTAAATTCTGCAACTAATAAGTGGTAAAGCCAGAATATGAACCTGGACGGCCTGGCTCTGAGTCCATGTTCTAAATCACAGTAATACATTTCTGTTTATACCAGCTTGCGTTCCTTTGGTGGAGTCAGATTTTGCACTTAAAACTTTTGAAAACACTTTCATGTTCATTATCTGAAACCAAAGTACTGTCACATCAGTTGTATGGATTTATCCCCATGTCTACACTGTGAAGTTGATAGCACAGAATCACATCCTTGGAAAGCTGAGGAAACTCAGTAAATGATAGAATTAGAGGATGAGTGAAAGTCCAAACATTTTGTGGAAGTGCACGGCTGGAGGTGGAATCTGGGCTCCTTCATTCTCAGCTTCTGCTGTATTAGTAAACACTACTGTGAAGTATGAAGTCAACAAAACGAGGAAATGCAGGAGGCAGAATATCATGCTCTGCTTCTTTTTTTCTGGTTTTTTTTTTTTTTTTTTTTTTTTTGTAGTCTAATATTTTTTCATGTTAGAATGACCAAGCTTGGACTTCTGCTGTAATCTCTATTCTGGCTGATGGGAGTAAAAAATATGTAAGACTTTGTGGTTTTTATTTATTACTTTCTTTTACTATATTTTTACTTTGGCATTTCTTTAAAACTATATGAAGACATTTATTGACCTGGTGCAGTGTCTCATGCCTGTCATGCAAACACACTGAGAGGCTGAGGTGGGAGGATCATTTGAGCCCAGGAGTTTAAGACCAGCTTGGGCAACAAAGTGAGAAACCATCTCTATTTAAAAAAAAAAATCCAAAGAACCATTAGAAGTAGATATATATATGTGTGTGTGTGTGTGTGTGTGTGTGTGTCTTTACATAGTTTTTTTCATATATATATTTGCATATTTATACCAGCTTGTATTCCTTTGGTGGAGTCAGATTTTGCACTTAAAACTTTGCATGTAAGTTATTTAAAAGGTACCTAGCATATAGTAAAATGCTGTCAAACTTAGAATTGTATGAATTGTTATTTTACATATATATGAAAAAACTATGTAAACACACTTATCACCTTTAGAAGCAAAAATATAATAACATCAAAACATGTTTTCAATTATGTTTTGTAAGACATACAGCGAACACTGACATTCCCATCCCAACGCACTACTTTGTGGTGCTGACCAGTTGTAAAAACAAGAGCCACACACCGGAAAACTGCCCTGGGTGGCTGGACGTCCTACCCTTTGTCATCCCTCACCGACCTACCAACGTGGAAAGCTGTCCTGTGAGTACGCTTTGGGAGGATCCAGGACGTGAGAAAATGAGTCAGAGCTCTTTTGGGCTCTCATAAAAGTGACTCTAAAATGTATTTTCTTAAGTGTTTCATGGAAAAAGTTGTAATACTTCATTTTTAGGCTTTTCCTTAGACTATTGGTCTCTATGTAATTAATATCAATTTAAACATATATCTGCATAGTTGAACATATGTATACCTCATGTATTTTATTTATATGTTTTATTCACATTCACTAAGAATGAAAGAGATGAAATCTTGTTAATCTCTTTTTTCTTTTTTTATTTATAACATGAAAATTGTATGTATTTATGAGGTATAGTGGGATGTTTAAATGCATGCATACTTTGTATACTGATGAAATCAGGATAATTAACATATCTACTACTTTAAACGTTTATCATTTCTTTGTGGTAATAACACTTAAAGTCCTCTCTTCTAGCTGTCTTGAAATATACAATACATTGTTATTAACTACAGCCACTCTACTATGTAATAGAAACACCAGAACTTATTTTTATTCTGGTCACAAATCTTAAAGTTATTCCCAATGTTAGCACTAAATTAATATTTCTGAATGAGTATGTACATGTAAAAATTCCATCAAATTGAGCCATGAGGTGTGAAATTGATTATACACATGCACACACAAATACACGCAGTTCAAGTAACATTCTTTTTTTAAACATCATTTATTAGGCTGTCTCAAAATCCTTTTTGGATCAAGGCAGATTATATGTAAGTAGCTAATTCAACTTGCATATAAATTCCTCATAGAAAAAATATGTATCCTGGAAATTAGGTTTTACTGAAGTCATTCAACAAATATATTGAGTACATATTAAGCACATAGTATCATGATAGAAACTCTTTAGAATGCACAAAGGAGGAACACATTGTCCCTGCTTTTAAAGAGTTCATATACAACTTCAATTTATATATGAGATATAGACACACAATTTAGTCAGTCAACAATGCAAGAATTATTCTAAAATCTAAAAAATAAAAGAGGTTGCAAAGTTGGGATCAACTGACAATTAATGTTAAAAGGATTTAATATTTGAAATTAATATCACATTTGGCTGGAATGATCAATAAAGATTTCATAAAATAAAGTGTAAGTAGGGCTGTGCCTGAAGGATGGATAGAATTTGAGTATATTGAGAAGACTACAAAGAGTCTTCCATGGAGGGTGGGTATGAAGAATGAAGAGGATTTAGTAACTGATTGGATACAAGAGCCCCCACCCCAAAAGGAAACTCAAAGATGAATCAGATTTGAATGTTGGTAATTAGGAAAAAGGCAGAAAGAGGAAAGTTAGGAATGAGAACTTTTTGGTTGGTAGATAGGATAAGCTAGGCATTTTAAGTTTGTGGAAATGGGTATTGATGTGGAAAGTCCCATAGGCAATTAGAGCCTGAGAATTAAAGCTTGGCATCTAGGCCAGATTGGGATTCATCTATATCTTTCAGGTGTTCAACACTGTTCAACACATGAGTGCCTTCACCATGCTGTGCACTATAGAAGGTACTCACAATTAGAAATCCAGGAAAACATTAGAAGAAAGAGATAAGTGATGTAAGAGAGGGACAGATAAACTGCTATAGTAGGATTTCAGAGGAGAATGATTTCCTGACAGGGAGGGTGACATTTCAGTTGGGTCATGCAGATACGATTTTACTTGAGTGTTTAAATTGTTTAACGAAGGTGGCCAAGTTTAGAGGCTAAATAGTGAGCCACTCACTATTCTTAAAATGAGGAAGAAGAGTTTCTAAACAGGAAACTATCAGGATATGTTGTTGAACTGAATCCCTTCCTACTTTTCCTGTCAGCATTTTATTTGGTTGAGACAAGGGTAAGCCATTATTCTTTACTTCCTCTTCCAATGACAGACATCAATGACTGATATGGTATGGTACTCTACCATGAAATCCAGATTAAACTGTTCGTTCTTACAGAGGTTCTAGGTAGTCATAATGGAGTGATTACAATGAGTACACAAAGAAAAAAACATTTGCTATCCCTGGTCTGGGCCCTTTTGACCTTCTATTAGGACTCTTGAAAATGAATCTTAAGTAGATTTGTGGTCTCCTCTTCTCTTTTCATTTGTCAGTGTGCACTACTACCAACTTACTCGTCTTAAAATTTAGTTTATATTTTGTCATAGCCTCTCACCCCAAAACTTTTGATTATGCTGAACAATAACAACAAAATACAAAGGAGCAAACAAAAACAACTTCCAGCCTGTACTTAAGTCTCTTCACAATTTACCCTCTGTTGACCTTATAGGCTAATGTTCCAGGCCAACTGGAGCCCTTGAAATTACTTGAGCACATCTTGAATTTGCTTACCTCATCACTGTTGCCTATGTTCTTCTCTCCTCTATAATTCCCTTCTTTTCCATCTGCTAAAAATTCCACCTGGGAGTCAAGGTAAAGTGCAAATAATATGAAGCTTTCCTTGATTATTCAAAGTAGAAGTGATCTCTCCAAATTAATAGAGCATCATCTCTGTTGAATAGGACATCATCAGTAATAAATTGGACATATCCAAGATTTTGAGGAATTTGCAGTATAGTAATAAGAATGTGACATCTATATAGATAATTATGACACAATATGCAATGCGTATAAAGCAAACTTAAGCCAAGCTATGATTATAAAAGAGTTTGCAAAGTTAATAAGAGTAGCTGTCAATTAGATATGGGTAAGGAAAAGGCAAGATGAGAGAGAGGCAAAGATGACTAAAAATCCAGGGCATGACTAACCAGGAAATGTATACGATAGATAATCTTTTGTTTTGAGAAGGATGGATTTGCTCTTGGTGGTCTTCAGTTTGACAGACTAGTTGAATATTTAGGAGGATGTATGAGAAATAGTATAAAATAGAGTAAATACATGAATTTTGGAGTTGGACATCCTGGGTTCAGTGAATGACTTGGTTTCTTTGGGTAAGTATGTTAGTTTTCTCATCTGTTATATCTAATAAGTACAAAATATTCACCTCCTTTTATGAAGTTTGTGAAGATAATATATTCTATATAAAACCCTAAGACTTCCCAATATAAAAAAAGGTGGCTATTATAAAGGAATCATATCTTATGATAAAGTTACATTCTAAAGTCAACAGAGGCCAGGCACAGTGGCTCACACCTGTAATCACAGCACTTTGGGAGGCCGAGGCAGGCACATCACCTGAGGTCAGAAGGTCGAGACCAGCCTGGCCAACATGGTGAGACCCCATCTCTACTAAAAATACAAAAATTAGGCCCGGTGTGATGGTGCATGCCTGTTATCCCAGCTACTTGGGAGGCTGAGGCAGGAGAATTTATTGAAACTGAGAAGTAGAGGTTACAGTGAGTGGAGATCGCACCACTGCACTCCAGCCTGGCCAACAGAACAAGACTCTGTCTCAAAATAAAATAAAATAAAATAAAGTCAATGGAGAGTGAAATTGAATCTCCTATATGCAAATCATGCAGAAAGTATAGTACATTCACAAACTGTTTCTTAGTAAGTCTAAACCAGCCAATATTTCCAATAGCATTTGGATAGGTAATTGTGCTTTGATGCACCTGATAAAATAGATGGCTTGCTTTAAGCATTGCATTGTATGAAAACTCTGTACTTTAAGTATTTGAATTACACAATGTACAGAAGTACTCCCACTATTATTAGGTTAGAGGGAACTGAGATCAAGCTATAGGAATGATAGATTCACAATTTTATCCCACACTTGGTGTAAGGAATTAGATCATATTTTCTTATTTATTTTTTCCTTTCCTTGTTCCTTTCATCTTTTCTTCCCTCCTTTTTCCTTTTCCCTCCTCCTGTCATCTTTGTACTGTTAAATTTCTGTCAGATAAATGAGAATGTAGCCATGAGTTCAAGTGACTTTCCTTGTAAGTTACTCAGCAGATATGGAAAATATAGATATGAAACTTGGAGGAGAAATCAGAACTGCAGATCTAGATTTGGGATTAAATCATGGGTGTGAAATACAATTGCCAAAGGGGAGAAAGTGGAAAGAAAAGATCCCAAATCAAATTGAGGAAAATGTCTATGCTTCCAGGCAGTATAGTCTTCTGAGGAAACAGAAGGTATTATCAAACAAGTAAACAGTACAACTATGGATAACAAAGGAGGAACTTCAGAAGCCTGGGGTAGTTAACTAATTGAAAAGTCTGAGGACACCCCATTCAGTGAGGTCATCATTGACAAAGTAGTTGCATTAGCATGATAGCAGCAATCACTGGACTGTAGTGGCTAAGGAGAGAGAATAAGAATGTGGACAGGACAGAAAAATGCTGAAATCAATATTGTCTCAAAAAATGAGTTGTACTTTTGGGATATACAATACACTTACTTCTGTAACAGGTCATTTGTACACACACACACACGTACCCCCCTCCGCACACATATATTAATATCAAAGTATATTCAAATATAGCTCATAAAACTGTGTAGCCTATTCTGTTGGCATGGACTGGTGCAGCGAGGGCAGTTGTCTACAGCTGGCTTCTGTTCAGATTAGTTGGTGCCAGCGACTTACTCAGTGTTAAATACCTTAAGTATCGTCTCTGCATAAGTATAGTTTTGTGCTATGCTTTGTGGTCATTTCCCTGCAAATTTAAAAGAGGGAAGACTGTCAGGTGCTGGGTAAACATTTAGTTGGATGGATGCCGAATAAGTCAGGAGAGAGTAGAGTCATATAAACCAAATGGGAGAAAACGTTATGGAAAAAAGTGATCAAAGATATTAGGTGCTACTGAAATGGGCAATAGTAAAGGCAGAATAGAAAGACTTTGAATTAGACTCCCATTGAAAGAATGAACTCAAACTAACATAGTGAATTTTTTTTTTTTTTTTAATATTAGCTCGCTTTGTGAATCTGACACAAGTGCTTTAGAGGTTAGGAACAAAAAGTATTTCCTCTTACACTTCCTCTGGCTCAGATAGTGGCTATCTGTATTAAGCCTGCATACTTAAACAAGTAAACCACTGCGTCGAAGTCAAATGAGAATCATGAAAATACAGTAATCTGATTAAACAAACTTTGAAACTTTCTTATTATGTGAAAAGTTAACTGAACTTTAGCAATATCATATGAATACCAGAAAATTATTCTTTATAATAAAGAATAAAGAATGTGATAGAAACCCATGTTTCTAAATTATTGAACTAACTTTCATATTGTAAAAAAAATTAAAAATAAAACGGTCGAGAAATAACTGAAAAGATGCACAAATATAACAATAGTCAGCATAATAAAATATAAATGGCATAAAACACTATTTTACACCCATGGTTTGGCAAAGATGTGGGGAAACGGGAATTATCTTTCACTGCCTATTGAACTGTAAATTGGTATGAAGACTTTGAGGAGTGCTGGGTTTAATATCTGATAAAGTTAAAATTTAATGTACTCGGTGGCGCGTAGTGGCTCATGCCTGGAATCCCAGCACTTTGGGAGGCCAAGACAGGTGGATCACCTGAGATCAGGAGTTTAAGACTAGCCTGGCCAACATGGTGAAACCCCATCTCTACTAAAAATATTAAAAATTAGCTAGGTGTGGTGGTGGGTGCCTGTAATCCCAGCTACTTGGGAGGCTGAGGCTGGAGAATTGCTTGAACCTGGGAGGTGGAGGTTGCAGTGAGCTGAGATCACACCATTGCACTCCAGCCTGGGTGACAGAGTGACAATGTCAACAACAACAAAAAAATTGAATGTGCTCTATGGCCCAGCAATTTTATTAATATATCCTAGAAACTCATGCTCTTGAACACAGGAGACATATACCAAGTTATTTATTATAGCATTATTTATAATAAAAATTTTATCAACATGTAATGAAAATTTTAATTGTGCTGCATTTAAATGAGGAAATATCAAACCACAGCTAAGAACAAGTAACTTAACAAGACCTAGATATATCACTATAGATTACAAACATTAATACCGAATAAAAATTTTGTAGAATACCACTTATAATATTAACATAAGTTTAAAAACTCATCAATAGTACATATTGTATAGTGATGTACAGTAAAAGTTTGAAAAAACAGACTGGGATTCACCCTGATATAAGGATGTTTAGTTCTGAACAGAGGAGCACTGGGGACTTAACTTCATCTGCAATATTTAATTTCATTAAAAAATTTATATCTGAAGTAAACATAAAAATGGATAAATTTTGACCACTGTGTTCTATGTTAGTTATGGTATACTTTGTGCTTTTCTTTTTCTTTTAAAAACTAAATTTAGCTGTATCAAATTAAGATTTAAGGAGGTAAATATCATCGGCAAAAAGACAACTTCTAAGCAATAAAAATATTTCTGTTCATGAAAAGTACCACCTTGTGAAAAAGAAAGTGTTGTGCTTTTCTTTTTCAGGAAGGTAAACCGGAAGCTCTTTGGGTTGAAGAAAGATTTACAGCTCACATTGCCCGGGTCCGTGATGTAGAGCTTCTCACTGGGCTTGACTTCTATCAGGATAAAGCGCAGCCTGTCTCTGAAATTTTGCAACTAAAGACATATTTACCAACATTTGAAACCACTATTTAACTTAATAATGTCTACTTAATGTATAATTTACTGTATAAAGTAATTTTGGAAAAATGTAAATGATTTTTTCTGGAGAATTATAAAATAAAGTTTTCTATTTTTCCTTAAGTCCCCTAAAAGCCATAATTTTTATCATTCCCTTTTCTCTTTTTCATTTCTATGAATATGTATTATATTAAAGTTATATTTTTCACACAGAGATGATGCTATCTTACACCTTCCCTTTTTTGTTGGATTTTTAAACTCTAATCTCATGACAGATTATACCTTCCTTATTACATGTTTTATCTCAGAATCTTTGAATATATTTTTCTGCCCAGAATTATCTAAACAAAAGGGAGAACAAAAGAAGTATGTCTCACTTGGGAACTGAATCAGCTCTAAATCAGTTTTGTTGTAAAACTTTTTGTATTTGATTGGCAATACTGATTAAAATTTAAAATGCACAGAACTTTTACGCTGTAATTTCACCTGTAAAAACTGTCCCAACAGATGTGCTTGACACAAATGCATGAAAATGACATCTTTTATGATAGCAAAACACAGAAAACAACCTAAAAGACTGGTTAAGCAAATTATGAAATTTGTTTAAACAAATATTGTTCCACCTCTATAAAGACAGAAGTAGATCTATATATATCTTGAATGTATCACTATTGTTAAGTGAGAAAGCAAGTGGTAGAACAATGTATGTAGTCTACTGTCATTTTTCAGGGGTCAGCAAACTTTTCTGTAAGGGACTAGATGGTAAATTTTTTAGACCATACAATCTCTGTTACAACTACTTACTCTGCTGTGGCATCAAGAAAGCAGTCATAGATAATACAAAAAAGAAATGAGTTGTTGTTCTATTAGTCTGCTTTCACATGGCTATAAAGAAATACCTGAGACTGGGTAGTTTATAAAGAAAAGAGGTTTAATTGATCCACTGTTTCGCATGGCTGGGGAAGCCTCAGGAAACTTACAATCACGGCAGAAGGAGAAGGGGAAGCAAGCACTTTCTTCACAAGGCGAAAGGACGAAAGGACGGAGTGAGTGTAAGCAGATAAAATGCCAGACACTTATAAAACAATCAGATCTCATGAGAACTCACTCACTATTATGAGAACAGCATGGGGAAAACTGCCCCCACGATCCAAACACTTCCCTCCCTCAGCACGTGGGGATTACAATTCGAGATGAGATTTGGGTGGGGACACAGATCCAGACCATATCACTTATGTTCCAATAAAACTTTATTTACAAAAACAAGTAGAGGGCCAGATTGGGTCCCTGGGCTGTAGTTTGTCAGCCCCTGATTTATATAATAAAATCTGGGCTGGGGAAAGCAGGAATTAATAGAAAAAAGAGAAAAAAAGATAACATTTTTATTTTTTGCTCTTTGTACTGCCTGAAGATTTTTTTGTTTTGTTTTTGTTTTTTTAAACTCTCTATATGTATTTCTTGAATTTTCAAAATAGAGTTATGAACCAAAGAGATCCCAGCAATTATTTCAGGGGCAATACTATTGGTCAGATTTTGGGGTTGCTAGACTGGCAATTTTCCAGACTCTTCTCTGATATAAAGATAAGTTCATCCAGGGACACAGACTTTGTAGCTAATGAAAAATCTTGTGACCTGGGCTTCAAGGAATACAAATTCTATTTCTATTAGAATTTCAATTGAATTATGGTTATTAATTACAACCAATTGAGATGTTAGTTTATTCCCACTGAATTTTTTTTTAAACACAGTTTCTTCACATGTAGAATTTAGGTCAAAAATGTATGCAGTGCAAAGTGTGCAATACAGAGAGGCTGCAAGTTAAGACACAAATAGGAAATTATTTCCGGATACACAGCAACAACGTTAATACTCTTCATATAGAGACAATTTTTCCAATCAATGTTCTCCTGCCCCACCATGGCCAGGAAACTAAATAAGATCACCTGGAATTTAGAACTCACAATAGGAAGACAGATGGTAGATGTTTACAACCCTGAACGGAGTTTAATAACCCTGGATTTCCTCATTACTTCTGAGTTGGTCTGAAAGTGGCTAAATTGTTGTTATAAAAATAAAAAGAGAAAAATTAAAACTACATTTTTTTTTTTGAGATGGAGTCTCGTTCTGTCACCAGGCTGGAGTGCAGTGGTGTGATCTCAGCTCACTGCAACCTCCGCCTCCCGGGTTCAAGTGATTCTCCTGCCTCAGCCTCCCGAGTAGTTGGGACTATAGGTCCCTGCTACCACGTCCAGCTAATAATATTATATTTTTTACACAGAGATTGTGCAATATTATATCTTCCTTTTGCATATTCATTATTCCATTAAAAAAGAAATATGTATATGTAAAGCCATTTTGAATGAATGAATACCAGTGATTTAATGGATCATGAAATTATAGAGGATTTGGTACATCTACTTAATAACTTTGAGTATGTAGCCTATATTTACAAGGAACTTGTTTTATTTTTAAAAATCTGAAAATGTAAGCAATAAAGTTAGTTACACTTCAAAATATTTAGAAAGGATTTTATATGTACACAAAGTTTGCAAGAATAGTATAGGCCGGGCACTGTGGCTCACACCTGTAATCCTAGCACATTTGGGAGGCTGAAGTGGGCAAATTACTTGAGATCAGGAGTTCAAGACCAGCCTGGGAAACACGGTAAGACCCTGTTTCTATTTAAAAAAGAATAGTATGAAGAAAAGAACTCCTTATAACCCTTACCTAGCTACCTCAATTAACATTCTCAGTATGTACATTTATATATAGTTTTATTTCTACCCCTGTACTTCTGGGAGTACATTGTAGTGATCATGCCCATTAACGCTGAATACTTCAGTGTGCAAAGATCAAGGACATTAACTCACAGTAAGTTTAATGTTGGTACGATGCTACAAATAATCTAATTTATGAACCTATCAATTTTTTTCATGTTTTCAACAGTTTTTTAATGATATTTTCTTTTTTGGTCTAGGATCTGGAAGAGAATCATTCATTGTATTACCTTTTTCTCTTTGGTCTCTTGTAATGTTCAACAGTTCCTCAGCGTTTAACAAATAATGTTGATACTTTTGAGGAGTCCAGGTCATTTATTTTGTAGACCGTCCCTCAATTGGGTTTGTCTGGCATTTCCAGATGACTGGATTAACACAGTGCATTTTTGGCAGGGACACTACATTAGTGACATTTGTCCTCAGCGCTTCATATTTGGAAGCACATGATGTTCATTTGTGCCATCACTAATCCATGCCAGATTTGATCACTTGGTGACGTTAGTGTTCATAAGGTTCTCTTCTGTAAAGACAATATTTTTCCATTAGTAATTTATAAGTTATTTGTAGAAGGATATTGAGACCCTACACATATCCTGATTCTCATTAAATTTTTACCCAACAGCTTCAGTAGCTGTTAACAGTCTTTCCCTGATTCAGTTTTTACGATGGCAGTTGCGAAGGGAGTGATTCTTAAAAACTCCATTATTTTACGTTTATTAGCATTCTACTATAAGCAAAAGTGTTCTCTTCTTATTTATTTATTTATTTATTTATTATTGTTTGTACAGACTTATCATTTTTTTCATTCCAACGGATTAGAATACATTAAGATCATTATTTACATCAGTACTCAGATTGTCCCAGATTTGGCCAACAGGAGCTTCTTTAAGTGAGGTCCTGGGTCCTTTGGACATACCCCATTATTTTTTGAGGACTATTTTCTACTACAAAAAAAATCAGGATTGTTTTGTACTTTCCCTGCACTAATTCTGGAACCAGTTCTTTCTCCAAAAGGCCCTGGTTCCATTTAGTGGGCACTGGTGCCCTAATTGCTTCTGGGGTATCATAACACCTAAGCACCTTCAGTCAACAAATGTGGAATCTATATCTACATCCCTTTGCCTATGTTTATCTTTGTATTCATAGTACTGTAAACTTGAAGTCCTAAGTCTTCCACTGATAGAATAGACCCTCTTGTGGCCAAGAGGACCCCAGAAAAACCTTAAAACTGAGTTCCTGGCCACCGCCAGGAGAGAGGGGAGGTCAGACATGCCTCATTCTACCCACTCTTTCGTGGTTTAGACACAATTGACCAGCATTAATGTTGAAATATGTATCATAAGACAGAACAGACTCTGTGGCAATAAGATACCAAATTATATACAAAAACAAAGGCCATGCAAGGCAAGGATGAAGTCATGCACCCTACACTTAAAGAATAAACTGTTCTAGTTATTTATTTATTTATTTATTTATTTTGAGATGGAGTCTCTCTCTGTCACCTAGACTGGAGTGCAATGGCGCGATCTTGGCTCACGGTAACCTCTGAATCCCGGGTTCAAGCAATTCTCCTGCCTCAGCCTCCTGAATAGCTGGGATTGCAGGCACATGACACTACACCTGGCTAATTTTTGTATTTTTAGTAGAGACAGGGTTTCATCATGTTAGGCCAGGCCGGTCTCCAGTTCCTGACCTTGTGATCCGCCTGCCTTGCCCTCCCAAAGTGCTGGGATTACAGTCATGAGCCACCGCACCCGGCCTAGAATAAACTGTTCCAACTGCCGCATGGGTTTTTTTTGGTTTGTTTGTTTTGTTTTTTCTCTCAAGCACTGGCTTTGAGATAAGCAGTATTAAAACAATTACAACTCATCTTGCTAACAGACGCTGACTAATTGAACCGCTGTTCCACCAGCTATAACTACAGCTTTGATTGCACAAGGGCCTGATTTCAGTGACTTTCTTCTGATAGGGAGACCACTGACCACGGACTGGTTCTGACTGGTTTACAGAGGTTGCTCACTTGTGTTACTTTGTAACCTGAAAAGATCTTTTGATATATAGGGTCCAACTGTAACACATTTGACAAGAACGGGTGCATTCAAGGTGTTATGGCCGTAGACATAACTGGAATACTTTTGAATGTTAAGTTTCCACCCACAAGTGAACATGAGTCATATGTTACATGCAGATTTGCTCAGTATGCATGTGTCAGGACCACCTTCATGAATATTTATAGCTTCTCCCATAACCTGTTGAATATGTATTTTTAGCCAGCCTCTTCAGCATAAAACTGCTACTCCAATCTTTCCTGCTTTGAAGTGCTTGTCTGGTCTTAGCTGGAGGAATACTTTCCATCCTGAGGGGTGACCATTTTGCAGGCTGTAACCATTTACAAAAAATAAAGTCTCCTCCTTTTCCAAACTCACAGATTTCTGAATTTTTAAGGTTAACACCACATGAATAAAAACCATGAATTCAATACTGCATGGTTTTTATAACAACTTTCTATTTTATAATTGTACCTTCCTTCTCCAATAGTGAGAAATTTGGTTCCCAAAATTGTCAATGTATTTATCCACATGCCCCAGTACATGGAGAGTAAGAATTGCAGACGAACACCACTTAAAGAAGGAACTCTACCAAGTAGAATTCAAGAAGTGTTTCTAGGCTAAGAACTTAGTTAGA